AACCTTCCAAAGAGATTCTGCTCCTCTCCCTGCCCCGCCCACCGTCCTCCCTCAGTTTCATGGAAACTTCTAGAAACAAAGCTGCTGCTTCAAACCTTCTGCTTCTAGAAGCTTCCAGAGACTTCGACCCCCTCCCTCGCTACTGCTAGGCCACTGTCCTTGGTCCTCAAATGTCTCCCTCAACCCAATATCTCTATTTCAAGTACCTGACTCAACCTCAGTTAACCAGTCAATCCCCCTGCACAGAAACACTGATTCACCTACTCTGGCCTCTCCAAGCGGGTGTGCCGCCATGACACTACGCAGCCGGACGCAGCTGTGCCATTATACCACACAGCACATTAAGAAAGGGCCCAAGGATGGTGCTGCTGTCCCACTTGTCAAAGGCCCGAACTCTTCCTGCTATCCCAACCGCTGTGCCACCTATTTAGAACGAGAACTGCCCTCTTCCTACTAGTTACTTCTCCCAATGTTCGGGGCCGCCATTCTCCCACTCCGTGGCCTTCTCCTCAAAACTCCCTCAAGAGGTTTCGGTCCCGGCATCCCCACCACACCCCTGTAACAATACAGCTTTAACGGAGCTTTCCTGTGTCATTTGTTCTTTTCGGCAGTGCCGAACATCAAATCCAAGTCGTTCTGCCTTCTTGGTGACCACCTCAGTTACATTGTGGTTCCCTGCCCCCGATACCAAACTTTGACAGGAAAGCGGTCTAAAGGAAAAATCGGTCCCAAAGTCCCCATGTTCACACACAGAACCCAAGGTACACTGTAGTGGTGTTCTTAGTTAAATCCACTACACTAAAATGACACCACTGCCCGCCTTTGCCCACCCTTTTCATACCTGCTCTCGCGGAGCCCGGAGCGCGACACAGCCACCACCAGCTCCTAAGCGTTTATGAAGCGGACGCCTGGCACAGCGCCTTTTATAGGGCACGGCCCCCAGGCAAGATGGGAGCTGACGTGTTCCCGCCTTTTCTGTACCCACCTATCACGTGTGATCATAACGCCGCTATGTATGAAGTTGTTACATCAACTTCCGGGACCGGGGTACCACTTGTGAGAGAGACATCGCTTGTCACGGAAGGGCGCCATTTCAATGTAGACCTACAAAACCAAAGCCGATTCTCAAACAGCCCCGCCCCCTTAACGTCCCCCATTTTGTTTTTGTGTCTATGTAGTCCTGGCAGCCTGCGTTTGTTTCCCTTTGGAATACTGGAATAACACACGTGAAGCCACCATGTTTGGCTTCTAATTTTTTGAGTGATAAGAAAAAATTAACAACAGAATTCTTAAAATGTGAGAATTTGACAGCTATTTTCCTCTACTTTTTTTTTTTTTTGGTCGGGGGGAGGATTGGTGGTAAAGGATTTTTGGTTTTTTTTTTTTTTTTTTGTCCTCCCTCCCAGGCAAGTTTTCTTATGTAACCGCAGCTGTCCTAGAACTCACTCGGTCGACCAGGCGGAGATTAAATGCATAACGCTGCCACCACCCAACTGCCTGAATCTTTTAAAATGTCGTCTACCTGAGCGCTGAACTAAAGGACCATCTAGTCCCCGTAATAAGAGCAAAGAACAACCCAAAACATCTAGCAACAGTTAACTGCAACGTTAGCATCCAGAATTGTCTGACCCTGAAAAAAAAAAAAATTTGGAGTACAGTTATTTAAAGCATTTCTTCTTCTTTTTTTGCTTGTTTTTCAGACACGGTTTCTCTATGTGGCTTTGGAGCCTATCCTGGCATTCACTCTGTAGACAAGGCTGACCTCGAACTCACAGAGATCCACTTGCCTCTACCTCCCGAGTGCTGGGATTAAAGGCCATCACCACACCCGGCTATTTACAGCTTTATGGTGCCCATTTCAAACACACCAAGAATAAAAAGAAGTGCTTTTCATACTTTCTCTGGCAGACATCAATATCGGACACACAATACATAAGAAACATTCCGTGTGCCTTTAATCCCAGCATTCAGGATGCAGAGGCAAGCAGATCTCTATAAGTTCGAGGCCAGCTTGGTCTACAAGAGCTAGTTCCAGGACAGACACCGAAGCAATACAGAGAAACCCTGTCTCAAAAGAAAAGAAACCACAAAAAAAAAAAAACTATCACATGTATTTACCTGTCTAGCCATTGTTCCAGGTGTGTCATGTGGGCTTTAAACTGACACCATAAAAAGTACGTGAAGGAGCCAGGTATAGTGGCACACACCTTAAATTCCAGCACATGAAGGCAGGCAGGTCTCCATTGAGATTGAGGTCAACATGGTTTACAGAGTGAGTTCTAGAACAGCCACATATCGATACCCTGTCTTGGAGAGGGGAGGAGAAGGAAAAAAAAAAAGGACTTGCAGGGATGGAGAGAGGATTGGTTCAGTGGTTAAAAACACTATTCATACAGAGGATCCAGGTTCAATTAATTCCTAGCACCCATACAGTGGCTCATAACCATCTATAACTCATTTCAGAGAATCTGAGGCCCTCTTCTGACCTCCTCAGGCACTATATACATACATGCAAGTAAAGACATACATGCCAACAAAACCTCTCATTCATGAAAGAAATCAAAATAAAAAATGAAAATCTAAAAACAAAGAAGAAAGTATATATGATGACAAGAACAATGCCACTGGCATGCCACCCTCACTGCTGCTACTCAGGAAGCTGAGGCCAAAGAATTCCTTGAGCCTGGGAAGCCAGGTAACAAAAGGCAAGTCTTGTCTCTAAACAATTAAAAATTCAATGTTACGGACTGGGAAGATGGTTTGGCAAGTAAAATGCTTGCTGGACAAGCACGAAAAATAGATATGGCGCCTCTTTAATCTCAGTGCTTGGAGATGGAGTCAGGTAAGAGAGAGATATAAGGTGGAAATAGTAGATTAGGAATAAGAGAGTCACAGAGAAAAAGACACCTGATATCCACACACACAGAAACATATATTATACATCTAAGTTTTAAAAAAAATAAAAATGTAGGGATAGAGAGAGATGGCTCAGCTCTTAAGGGCACTGGCTACTCTTGCAGGTACCCCAGGTACAATTCCCAGCTCCCACTTGGCTGTCACAATTATCTGTAATTCCAACTCCAAGAGATCCAACATCCTCGTTGAGCTTCTGTCGGTATCACAACGTGCATGTTTATGGACATGCAGGCAAAGCAACAATACACATTTTTTAAAAATGGAATGTTAGTACTCACAATTACAGAGATCAAACAACTACTAAGTAATGCAGCTAGAGCTCAATTATCTAATAGCACTAGTTCCAAAACGTGCAATAAACAAGCTTCCTAAAATGATGGTAACAACTTTCTCTTCCACTAAAATGGAGATTCCTTGACTATGTGGATTAGATGAATAGGTCAAGAATCTTAATGGAGATTGGCACGTATTAGTCCCAGCACTTGAGAGGCAGAGACAGGTGGATATCTAGCCTGATCTACAGAGTTTCAGGACAGGCTCCACAGCTATACAAGGGAAACTTTCTCAAAAACAACAAACAAACCCAAACAACAACAACAAAACCCTAAATGTTAGGAATAAGAAATATAAGGCAAATGTTGATACTACACACCTAAATTCCCAGCATTTGAGGGGAGAGGAGTGGCTCAAGGCCAATCTGAGCAATGTCACGAACCTGCCTCGATGGCAAAAATCTTGAAAAATAAGTTAAGATTTAAATTAAATCTTTAAACAGTTCAGCCAGATATGGTGGCACATACCTATAATTCCAGGTCAGGAAACTGAAGCAGAAGGTTAAGTTTGAAGCCAGCCAGGACTATGTAGTTGAGACCCTGCCAAAAACAAAACAAAACAAAACAAAACCGAGCAGGACGAGGCCACACAAGCTTATAATCTCTTTAACATGAGCACACTGGAAGCAGCAGAACAGGAGAACCTAAAGTTCAAGGCCAGCCGTGGCTACATGGAATCCTGTCTAAACCTGCAAAATAACTTAAAAAAAAAAGTTTAAATAAGTTGAGTGATTTCACAAACTTCTTTAATTATTCAACAAACTCTTAAACTGAATGCAGGAGCCACCGCAAATGAGATAAATGATGCACACTTAATAATATGAGGGTGAAGACAGACTTAATGACTAGTTGCCATCATCCCACACTATAATAGAGATAAAGCCTTTCTTCCCATATCACCATTTTTGCCTGAGACAGGGCTTCACACCATATAGCCTGGAATGTCCTTTAACTGCTGGTAATTCTCCTGTCTCAGCCTACCTACCAGTGCTGGGATTTACAGTGCTGGGATTCAGAACACAGACCCCAACACTATTAATAATTTCAACCCACAGTACCCAGATTCCAACAAACACAAATCTTGGAATGGCTTTGGGGGCACAATAAAATAGTTAAGTAAATTATATGAAATTTTACTTAATATTATTTATTTAAAAGGATTTTATTATATGCATGGACTTTGCTTGCATATATGTCTATGTACCATGTTAATACATATATTTTTCATTTTTGTTTTGCCTGTATGTATATACCTGCACCATGTGCATACCTGGTGCCCAAGGAGGCCAATAGGATAATGGATCCCCTGGAATAGTTACAGATTGCCAGGTAGATGCTGGGAATCAAACCCAGGGCCTCTGAAATTGCACCCAAAATTCTCAACTGCTGAGTCATCTCTCCAGCCCCAAATGTTTCCCTTTGTCTCTGAAAAAACTGGAAGCCAAAACTGTCCACAGGAGGGAAGAGTGCTGTCTGTAAATAACTGTCCCACAGAGAAATTCTGTCTCAACACCCCCCCCGGGCAAAAAAAGACCCACAAAAGCATATGTGGGTATTTGGGGCTCTGCTGTCCCCTTAAAGGACTAGTTACTATCTCCTATCCTCCCATCAGACTGGACTGAGAAAACAAAGTTAATTCCTAACATCACGCCTAAAATAGGTAAACATTCCCTCGTCATGCTGTTTTGAGCTATTCAAGCATAGATTTCATTAGTAATACTCAACACAATGAAACAAAATACATCAAGCCACTTTAAGGGGAAATCATCCATTTATTGTTTAAAGATCGCAAGACAACATCTGAATTTCTGGAGCACAATTTAAATGCTTTACTTTTTCAATAAAGCAGAGTATAATAGAAAAAAAAAAACACAAATTAGTTTCCAGTAATATCTATAACTATCTGAATTAAGTCTTCCACAGACATGTTACCTGGAAATAAAAGCCTGTTACAATAAGCAAAGCTTCAACCAGAGTGGCTACTTTTCGTGCCAGGAAAAAGTTCATCCCTATAGGAGGAATGATGTGCTATGTAAAATGGCCACAGATCACAGCCTTAGCGGCACTGGAAGTCTATTATCCAAGCCCACATTTAGTAGTTCAGTAAATTTTGAAAATCAGTTTACCTGTAACCATGCTGGCAACCTTTAACTGATATTTATTCAGTTAAAAAATAAATTAAGAAATCCCTTAACTGGTGTTCCTTGATTTACATTACTAAAGGTACACAGTTCATTACAATGTAATTCTGCTTCAGAATCACACATAAGACTTCTTGCTTAGGTTTTAACTAGCAGTAAGAATCACAAATTCAAGTTCTTAATTATCAATAACTTGTCAGCTAAGGTACATTCAGGCAAGAGCTGCAACTACAGAATAGGTGCACTGCCTAGGTGCTTTGGAAAGAATCTAGAGCACTACAAACAGACAAAACTGAGCTGTAACTGGAGACTCTAAGTGCAGTAAGTAGAGCAGTACAAAGTCATATGTTGGCTTGTTTGTTTAAGCCTCAAGCCCTCTACCCTTCATTGAAATGCATTTTTTTATAACCACCAAGAATTCAAGCTCCAGGAGGGAAAATAACGTCTAACTTGTACTCTAAACCAAGTAGTGATGCAAATTCACTATTACCACGGCTGAATCCACAGACTTAGAGATTAAGTCCAGAAGATATACATTAACACAGTCTAAAAAATAACTGCTTGTGTAGAGATGGTCCTGCAGGACTTTTACCTCTAAATCTGTAAGTGAACATTATTTAATGTACTGGAGATAACTGCAACTTACTAATCAAATATTTGAATACTTATACTTACCTGGGATTTCATTTCTGCTGAAAGAAATAGGAAGAACAGGACTCACTTTAAAAAAAAAAACAAACTTTAGAAAGGAAGGTAAAAATCTTATCACACACTATCACTTTTGGAAGCAGCATAGGAGGGGCAGTCAAGGGCTTAAACACTGGTGAAATAGGTAAAAATTAGACAAAAAAAAATCTACAATATTATCAACAACAGTACCACAACTGTGCCCTTCATGATTAATATTCACTCCTAAGAATTTTCATTTGGCACCAGATGGTGTGTTTAAGAGAAACACTCTGGGATGTTTGAAACAAGACTTGGTTTTGTTAGCAGTCACAGGAGAATTTAAAGGGAGGTGAGAGAAAAGAAGTAGGAAAGAGACTGAAAAACCTTGAATCACCATCTAAATCAACAAAGCACTAACAGCATCAAGCATTAGGTCAGACACTAAAACGACTGATATAGGCTCAAGTGGTTTATAAAACCTATAAAAAAGACTACACCAGCAAGGTCCCTGTCACCCTGTCACAGTTCAGACACTAAAACAGGAAGCAACATTTTAGTTTAAAACCTTGTCTCAGAAGAATCAAAATCACTTCACATGAGTAAAAATACCTGAAAGCAAACATTTTTAAAAGCTCCAATACCCAAAATATAAAGAAAAAAAAGGATCAGAAGACTTGATCAATCCATGAAATCACAAAATAGCTGGTCAATCTCTATCTCCCTCCACACACATTAATTAAGTATCCCATGTAAGACCAAGGGACACCAAACATTCCAGACCTCTGCACCATCTGCTTGCTGCAAAACTCTACAGAGATTCCTTGCAAAACAGCAATTTCTTATCTCTTGTCTCTCCCTATCATGCAGGAAGCAAGTCTGGCTGTGCTATTCTATTATCATTATAGATCACCCATCTGTAACACGGTACTGTACAGATAAGCACAAAGTATGTTATCTAGTTCCCTTTCCCCCAGAAGGTCGAGGCTCAGGTATAGGGATAATTCTCCTGTGCGCAGTCTTTATTCAGGCTGACTCAGTGACTTCAACAGGCTTAATCATGTGGTCAGGTTTGTTGCCAGCTGCATAATGCTCCCACATCTGCAGATAGAGCCGCTCTAATTCCATTGTGTATTGTTTGGTGTTGAACAGAGGGCTAGATATTCTCTGTTTCCAGACTTTGCCACGAATTTTCTTCAGGCTAGGTAATAAAAACAAAGAGAACCAATTTTACAAATCATAACAAAAACTCAGAACTAGACCTTATAGTCATTTTTCTGGCATAAAAATAAAAAATAATAATTCTTAGAAGGGCAATAGTGACACACACCTCTAATTCCAGCACTCAGGAGACAGAGGCAGGCAGATCTCAATGTGTTTGAGGCCAACCTGATCTACAGAGCAAGTTCCAAGACAGCCAGGACTATTATACAGAGAAAACCTGTCTCGAAAAATAACAAATAATAATAAATAATTTTTCTGATTGGCCTGTCAATTTAACACAAACATTTGGGAACCTCAAATAAGAAATTCCATCCACCAGATTGGTCTTTGGGCATGTATGTAGGGCATTTTCTTGATTAGGACCTAGGCCAATATGGTCAATGCCACCCCTAGCAAGCAGGCTGAGCAAGTCGTGGGGAGCAAGCCACCAAGCAGTGGTCCTCCATTTCTGTGCTTCAATTCTTGATTCCAGGTTCTTGCCTTGGCATCCCTTCACAATGAACTGTGATATGGATACGTAAGCCAAATAAACGCTTTCCTCTCCAAGTTGATTTTGAAATCAGAAATATATTGAAAGTTGGCTGTCCACTGGTCAGGCTCAAACAAACTGTATTCATGTTAATATAAATGCTTCCTTTCACATAACAAAACAAAACAAAAAAGATCCCATGGACTATGTGTGTATTTAGGTATGTATGCATGTATTTGTGTGTGCATGTAAAGGCCAGAGGACAACGGCTTGTCTTCAACTCAGAGGTCACCTGCCTCTGCCTCCCAAGAGCTAGGATGAAATGTTATGTGCCAACAATTGCGGGGGTGGGGTGGGGGTGGGGTGGGATGGGGGTTAATGCATTAAACATAAGAGAAATTAGAAACACCATTTCACTGAATGAGTGGAGCTCCATGTACCTTAGCAAAATCTCTCTAATCCCCACTCATTTTGAGGCAACTAAGTATTTTTATGCTTTTTTGTTGGTGGTGTTTTTTAAAATCCTACTGTGAAAATGTAGAATATTACATCTGACACTTTTGAAAGTTCTTTATTAAAGTTTAGTAATTACTTGAGAGTTTAGATGTCCCCTCCCAAAAGAGCATACAACTTAATTCATCTCTTTTATATTACTTATGGCTTTATTTTAGCCACATTTTCACATATAGTTTGTTCCTAGCAGTTTACTTACTATTCAAGATCAGTTCCCAGTTTCACAGCTATGTCTTCATATTCTTGTCTGCTTTTAGCAATGAGCTCAAGACATCCTAGGCAAGTGAGCTGAGAAGCTGCAACTCGAGAGGCAAGAGTCTCTCCTAGAAGGTAAAGATAGTAATTGCACATCTTAGCACTGTTAAGTCACACAGTCATCGCTGTTAATTGCATTTAAGTATCTACACAGTACAGGAGGATGGTGCCAAGTATCCAGGCTTGAATAAGACCCATTTTCGAGGATGGTGGCAAGTATTCAGGCTTGAATAAGACCCATTTTTTATCATCTTGCCTCAATTACTTCTAGTATAAACCATTTCAGCTTCAAGTACTCCTCTTGACCCAAACGAAAAATTAATGAATAAAGGATGCAATGATGTATCAGCCACTTACCTGGCATAGTCACCATGGGGGTCCCTGCCCAGAGAACATCCATCCCTGTAGTGTGCCCATTACATAAGGGAGTGTCCAGGCAGACATCAGCCAGCTGACCTCTCCTGACATGCTCCTCTTTAGGAGCCACTGGTGAAAAAATTATACGGTTCTGGGGAAGGCCCATATTTTGTGCATATTGTTGAATATTGGGTTCTCCTACTGCTGGAAAACGCAACAGCCAAAGCACGCTATTAGGTACACGTTTCAGAATCTTAAAAAAAAAAAAGAAAAAAAAAAGAAAAAAGAAAAGAAAAAAGAAAAAAAAGAAAAGGAAAGGAAAATGAGAAGATTAATAGTACATCTGCCCTTGCCCAAAATTATTCTATTTCACGTTATTGTTTACATTGATTGAGAAGCATACTTGAGATGTGGTGATGTAGCTCAGCTGGGATAGTTTGACTAGCACTCACAAAGTCCTGTCATTGATCCCCAACACCACCTAATCTAGGCATTGTGGCACACACCTATAATCCCAGCAGAATTGAAGCAGGAAGTTCCTAAATTCAAGAAGATCCTGGCTCAAACAAATGAAGGAGCCTGCTCGGGACCTAGATCCTTCCTTCAAAGGGATAAATTCAATCATCTGAGTTACTCCCTTTCTCTTAGCTGTCCCCAGACAGTCTGAGAACAGAGAAAAGATCCAGAAGACAAAACTAACTGGTATAATCTGAGGCAACTGTATCTGGTAGGAACTAATATGGGCAGTGGTCTTTGTCAAAGCTGGGAATTTGGGTGTCTTTTGTGTTTGTTTTTAAAAAGTCTTCTAATATTTCCACACTATTTATGGGAAGGAGTCATTTCACCCTCCATTACTCACCCCTCCCATTTTTGCTGAACCCCCTCCTACCTTCATGTTTACTGATATTTTGTTTGTTTGTTTGTTTATAATCCACTGAAGTTAAATGGGGAATGCTTGCATAAAAATGGGTGGAGGGTGAATTACTGGAGCATGAGCAACTTACTACTACAGAAATGACTCTTCCCTCCTCCCAGTAACCATTACTGCCAACAGTTCCTAAGGGAGGAATGAAGCTGTGTAACCCTCTCCCCCTGTTTTTGTTTTTAAGGGACAGGGTCTCACTAAGTTTTCCAGGCTGGCTACAAATTCATGGACTCAAGCAACTCTCCTATCTAAGCCTCTAGAGTAGCTTGAAGTACCAGCACATTTTACCAGCACATCCAGTACTTCAAATTTTAAATCCCCCACCACACCACATAAGGAACAGTGACTCATGTTTGCCCAACTTGCCTAATCTAGATCAGAAGGCTGCAAACCTCTATAAAGGACCAGAAAGAAAGTAGTACTAGCTTTTTAGTCACATGGACTCTTTCATAACTGCCTATTTTGTAGCTTGGAAGCAGCCATAAATAGTAAGTATATAAATACATGTGTGTGGCCATGTGTCAAGTTTAATTTATAAAAATAAGCAATGAGAGGCTGTGGATGTAGCTCAACGGTAGAGTACTTGCCTAGCATGTGCAAGGACCTGGGTTCCACCCCAGCACCAAAAAGAACCAAGCAACGAGCCAAGCAGTTGATTTGGCCTCCAGACCAGTTTACCTACTCCTGATTCAGAAGTGCATTTATTCAACATATCACAGAACTTCACACTTCCTTCTCTGAAAAATGTGAGAATAGACAAATTTCCAAATTCAGACTATTTCACATTTTTAAACGTTGTACAATGTACACACATTTATCTAACACTCTTGGAAGAAACTCCTTTTGTTTTTACTTTTTAAGCACATTTATCTCTATATTGAGATGCAAGAATATTCATATACAGAATTAAAAAAAAAAAAACTAAAACTAGCCTACTGTTAGGTAGGCTTTGCTTTCAGAGTTTTGGCAAAAGTGAAGATTTGGGGATAATAGAGGTTTGCTCATTCACTTCCTCTCTTTCTACATTACCCTGTAGTGAGATATTCACTTTGTCTGCATCTGTGGCACTGACCACGCCCATTGGGGGGGTGGGGACAAGGGTAGAAGTTACCTGGGGAAACTAGGTTTGGGGAGGGGGCCCTGGAGCACTCTCTTGCTTGCAGCACAGGGACAGAAGAGCATCCGGAGGCATCCTTGGGACCAGGAACCTGCTGGTATTCATCTGTCTATATTGTAAGTTATTTCTCCCTGAATAAACATCTATTCAGCCTATTCGTTTCTCCTGATCCATATTAAACCATGATATTACCCTTCCCTTTCAGTCAAATTGAATAGATATTTGGGGGGTGGGGTGGGGAAATCAAGCAAGGGATGATTTCTTTCTAACAATCTTAAGGTAAAATACACCATTTCAGTTAGCTCCATATACTCAGTGTTGTACTTCTGCAAACCAGATTCACAGGCCGACTGAGTAGAGACATCGACCAACTCTTTCTGGCTTAACTCTATAGAATTTCAACAGTGTTAAACATGAGCAGCTACACAGCAAGTTTCGCTATCAGTTTAGACCAGGGTTTGGCAAACTACGGCCTGTGAGCCAAGTATGGCATACAGCCAGTTTTTAGGAATAAAATTTAATGTGCAAGGCCATGGGTTTGTTTATACAATATCTAAAGTGTTTTTATGATACATAGGATGAATAGTGAGAGGTGACTAGATTATTAAGCACAAAATTGAAAGTTTCATTTACTGTCTAACTCTTTAAGAAGAAAATGTTTGTTGATGTCTGATTTGGACAGAACACTTTGAATAAATAAATGCTTTATAACATAAAATTTAAAAGTCACAGGACTGAAACCAGTTTGGTGGTGCATACCTTTACTCACAAAACTCAGAAGACAGGCAAGTGATGTAAGTTTGAAGCCAACCAGGTCTACACAGTGAGTTCTAGGACATGCAGGGCTATACAGGGGCTGCCTTAAAAAAATGAAAATAAGCCAGGCAGTGGTGGCACATGCCTTTAATCTCAGCAAACAGAAGGCAGAGACAGGCAGATCTCTTTGAGTTCAAGGGCAGCATGGTTTACAGAGCAAGTTCCAGAACAAGCTCCAAAGCTACACAAAGAAACCCTGTCTTGAAAAGGAAAAGAAAAAAACAAAAAACAAAACAAAACAAAAAAAAATGTATCAAAAGACTGGTGATATATAGATCATTGGTACAGAGCTAGCATGAAGGGAGCCCTGGATTAATTCCCAGCACCATATAACCAGATGTGGTGGCAAACCCCTGTAATCCCCACACTCGGAAAATAGAGGCAGAATGAATAGAAGTTCAATATTTTATTCTCTACTATCTATGTAATAAGGCCAGCCTGGGATACATTGAGACATCGTCTCAAAAACAATAATACAAGTAACATTATACAGACTGAGTGGGTTATATTTATGGATTTAGGAATACACATACCACCACTACCAATTACTATCACTACTACTAAAGAAAAAGAAGCACAAGGTAGTGGTGCATGCCTTTAATCCCAGCGCTTGGCAGGCAGAGACAGGTGGATCCCTGTAAGTTCGAGGCCTGGTCTGGTCAACAGAGTGAGTTCCAGGACAGGATCCAAAATTATACAGAGAAACCCTGTCTTGAAAAACAAAAACATAAAAAAAACAAACAAAATGTAACAACAACAACTACTGAGGAATAGGAAACCATGAATTTTTAAAGAGAGAAAATGGAGTGGACATGGGGGAGTGTGGAAGACTAGGGGTAATGACAGTAATTATATTATAACCTCAAAAAATAAAAATACTTTAAAACAACTGAAAATTTCACAATTCTTGGAGACAAGAAATGAGCACAATAGTCCATAAATTTAAAAAACAGGAAGCTTCAGCCAAGATAGTCCATATACAGAATATTTACTCATCAATAGGTATTAATAACAAATTTACACATACTCACATTTGCCCACATCTGCAGGGTAGAAGGGTCAATTTTATATAACTGATTAAAGTTACAGTACACAATAGCATCTTCTGGTAGCCCATACTGGGAACGGGTGGTTACAATAATGGTTCGGGGAACTTCCTCTCCAGTTGCAGCCTTATTATTGATCTAGAATGATGAAAAGAACATAATGATTAAATTTAGAATTAACACAGGCCAAAGGGGATTGCAGATGTAATTCAGTTGGTCAAGGGCTTGCCGAACATTCGAGAAGCCCTGGTTTGATTCAAGTACTGCATAAAACCAGGCATAATGGTATTTGTCTATAAATCTAGCACTCAGGAGATGGGGGAGTTAGGATCAGAGATCAAGGTCTGAGGCTAGCCTGAACTATGAGAGCCCCACCCCACAGAAGCCTTCCCTAAAGAATCAGACCAAGGGATGGGGGTTGGCGTATATCCATATAATAATGTTTATCTACAATGCACAAGGCCACTGAGTTTTATACACACACACACACACACACACACACACACACACACAAAGGGGGGGAGTGAGTCTAGGATGATCTCACACTATGTAAATCAGGCTGGCCTCAAACAGTCAATAGTCAGGCCTTCCAAGTGTCAGGATTACAGCGATATGCCACTATGCCTGGCTTTTGTTTTGGTTTTTTGTTGTTATTTAATACAGGGTCTCACTATGTAGGTTTGGCTGGCCTGGAACTTGCTATTAGACTAGGCTGGTCTCAAATTTGTAGGCAGGCAGATTTCTTATGGCTTTGAGGCTGGCCTGTGGTTAAAACATAAGCTCTAAAGTAATTCCATTTGCTGAAGGATACAAATACAAGCATTACACTGCAGTGCACTGAATATAACAATGTACCCTCAATACTACAGAAGCACAGGAGACAAATACCAATAAATATGGAAAGAGAGACTAGAGATTACTACAAGAACCCCTAAGAACTATCTCAACTGAAAGGCTGTGCAGGATTTAGCCAGGAAATGGGTGAGTTTACAGAAGCAAAAAAACTGTCTGGTCCCTAGAGATAAGAGAGTAAAGACAGGGGACAGGCAAAAACAAGGTATTAACTCACTAAGGAACCTCATGGCTAAAGTCAGGTTACTTTTCGTTTTTGTTTTTGTTTTTGGTGACAGGGTTTCTCTATGTAGCTCTAGAGCCTGTTCTGGAACTTGCTCTGTAGACCAGGCTGGCCTTCAACTCACAGAGAGCCAGGGGATTTTTAAGACCAGGCACAGGTACAAGAGAGCCAGTTTACAACGACCTCATTTCCTCTCTGTAAAATGGAGTGGTTGGTTATAAGGCATAAAGGAAATGGAGCGTGTCTGGTGGTACCTGTGTAGTTGCCAGTCCATTGCTAATACTGAATCCATTAATTGTTATCTGGATCTGTCCTCTGTTAATCATTTCAATAACTGCTTCTGCAATCGTGTTCATGGGAATGACAGGCATATTAAGAGCTGTGTTACTGCTGTCTGCATTGTCACCTCCATCAGGACATTTCATCTAGAAAAAAAAAAAAACAATGAGACAAATATGTATTATAAGAAAACAACTCAGATTTAGTTCATGTCAATAACAAATGCTGATTTGGTTCTGACCTTGACAATTTTCACATCTGGTAGACTATCAAGAAATGCTTTGAGATCGATGCCATTCAGAACTATCCGATTGTCATAAATGTGCCCATTGGATTTAAAATCAATGACTGCTTTTTTCTAAAAGGAGAAAAGTTTCAGATATGCCTTTGAGGATCATTTTGAACAATAACAAAAAGGGAAAAATAAACAAACACAGTTCTCTGAATTCCCCCATAGTGTTGTCTTCTGCCTACCTTCAGGTGAGGGAACATGTTAGCATGATCACCAATGAAAAAAGTATGGGGCATATAAGCCAGTTTCTCAGAATACTGCTCTGCAACTTCAGCTGGGGAAGTTTCCTGATCAGTGATGATATAATCCATAAACAGTGCACCACTAGTCCCAGGATATCCTAGCCACATCGCCTAAAAAAAGAAAAAAGGAGGGGGGGGAAAAAAAAAAAAAACAACCGAATCGAAAACTAAGGAACTTTCATCCACCTGGAAACCCACCAAATTACTGGAGTCTTTCATGTAGCAATCAGTTCCCAAAATTGGTTTTATTTTATTTACTTACTTTTTTTGTTTTGTTATTATGAGAGCCCTGCCTCTGCCTCCTGAGTACTGGGATTAAAGGCATGAGCCACCAACACCAGGCTCCAAAACTTTTTCAAAAGTGGACCATCATCAAAAGGCTACCAAATCATATATGTAAATAAACAAATGCAGAAGGTGGACTTCTTTAGCCAAGAGTAATCCAGCAGCCTTTCAGGCTAACCTTATAAGTGATTGGGTATTCTTCAAATATATTAGACAAAGGAATTATTTATAAGAAACCATGAAATGTCTGTCTCCGTTGACATTTTACATGTAGGCACTGGGTTTATCCCCATCCCCAACCCCCACCTCCACCCCCCTACTCCCACCCCTGCCAAAAATAAAAATCTATCCTCCTATCCTTGTGCATTCCAAGAACACTCTTTAAAAAATCAAGAATGTCTATCTTGTTAATTTCAAGGGCAGTTAGCCAGATAGAGGAAAACCAAAAGCCACTTTCTTTTTAGTCCAATAAACTTTGTGAATGATTACTCTCTTACCTGAATAGGAGCTGGTCTGAGAGCAAAGAGCTCATTTCGAGCACCCTTGGTGTACCCATTCATATTTACAAGGATGTGAATTCCATCCTGGTGGATTCGGTCAGCTGCTTTTCCATTGCAGGGAATCTAGGGAATAGACAATAAGAACTATGTAAAATCTTAAAATTAATTAAATTTGATTTCTGACATTAAACAGAATTCAGAGACGAGATGCAAAAGAGATGGGCAAGTTGGGTACAGTGGCTCACTCTTGTAATCCCAGCACTTGGGAGGTGGAAGCAGGAAGATCAGGAGTTACACACCAGCCTTAGCTACCTGAGACCCTATCTCAAATGGGCAAAAAAAAATAGATGAGTACCATGTCAATGAACTAAATTAATAGAGGCAAGCAACATAGGGTTTAGCATGACATAATAGCTTCAAAGCATTACAGAAATAGGAAATAAAGAAAAAATTTCCTTCTTGATTTGATGGCTTGGCAACAGGGTTACAGAAAGGAGCTGGTATTTGAAATGGGCCTTCAAAGATGAACAAGAGGCCAAGCACAATGTTACAAACCTTGAAGCCAAACATTCAGAAGTCTGAGGTAAAATCATGAGTTTGCAACCAACAGAGCGATACTTAAACTGTCTCGATCAATCAATCAATCAATCAATTGATCGATCAATCAATCACACAAGATCTCAATGGGAAATAGTATGGTATGGTATAGAGGACTAGAATGACTCAAAGTGATAAGAGTGCTTGCTATGCAAACAAAAGGACCTAAAGTTGGATTCCAGCATAAAAAGCTAGACATGACCATACATATGAACCTGGAACCTCAGATCTGTGGGGGTTGGAGGCAGGAAGATGAGCCAGGTTCAGCTGAAAGACCCAGTCTTGAGAAAATAAGACCAAGAGTGAAGAAAGAGCAAGATCTCCACAATTGGCTGGGTCTGGTTGCACGAACCTTTAATCCCACAATTTGGGAGGCAGGTAGATCTCTGTAAACTGGAGGCCAGTAATATGGTCTACAGTGAGTTTAGTTGACCTATAGAACATTCAGGGATATGTTAAGAACATGCTCTGTCTCCCAGGAAAAAAAAAAAGGCTGGAGAGACGGTTCAGAGGTTAAGAACACTGGCTGCTCTTCCATAGGTTCTGAGTTCAATTCCAGCAACCACATGATGTTCTCACAACCATAATGGTGAGATCTGGTGCCCGATTCTGCCATGCAAACATACACACCCACAGAACACTGCATAATCAATAACTCTTTTTTCCTTTTTAAGTAAGCCTCATTCTTTAAAAAAAAAAAAAAAGGAATCCAATGTCCTATCCTGACCTGACCAACATGTGAACCTGCAAGTACACCTATATGCAAGTACACACTATCAAATTATCAAATATACCACATTCACATATACATATGCCAAAAATGTAAAAACAAAAACAAAAAAATCCTAAGGTGGCATGTACCTATAATCCTAGCAATTTTAGAGTAGATTGACTGCCTAGTGAGATCCTGTCACAAAAAGGGGTGCAGGACTAAAGAGATGGATGGTTAGTCAAGGGCACTTGTTGCTCTTGAAGGACTACATGTAGAACTGAGCACCCATAAGGTAGTTAACAACCATCTGTATATAACTCAAGTTCCAGGGCATCCAACCCCTGACCTCCAAAAGCACCAGCACATACATAATGCACATGCATGGTACACAAGCATAACAACTCAAGACAGATAAATCTATCAAATAAATAAATAAATAAAAATGCAAGTAATGGTGGCCTTTAATGCCAGCACTTGGGAGGCAGAGGCAGAAGGACCCATATAAGTTCCAGGACAGCTACAGGGCTGTTAACAAGAGAAACCCCGTCTTAAAAAAACAAAATTGAAAAAAAAATTTAAGAGGTGGCAGCAGCATTGTAGTATGAAAAAATTTAAGGGAGGAGCCATTGTGGTACATGCCTTCCAGGAGGTGGGGGCAAGCAGGTATCTTAAGTGTGGGGTCAGCATGATCTACACAGTTACAAGCCAACCATGGACATAGTGAGCCTACCAATAAACAAATAAATGAATAAATAATTAAGTAAATAAACGGAAGGGAGATGGCCATCAAAGATGCCTCACTTTTGTAACTCTAGCACTAAGGAGACTGCGTTCAAAGCTAGCCTGGGCTACACAGTGGGAATTTATAGGCACTTCTAATTACACAGGTGAAGTTTTGCCTCAAAAAAAATTAAAAAAGCTAAAAATATAGCTCAGTTGGTAGAATGCTGGCCTAGCTAGTATGTACAAAGCTCTGGATTCAATGACCAGAATTACATGAAACTGTTTTTGGTAAGAAGGCAGCCTGGGCTACTTGAGACCCTGCCTCAAAAATCAAAAGTAGAAGACCAGGCATAATTTTAAAGTGTTAACCATGCTACAAAAAATACTGGTACATAAACTTTATTAAATAAAATGAAATCTCCAAATCCATCTAAGAAAACTTCAATTATTTATTTTATTTATAATCTATTTTTATTTGGTATTTGAAACAGGGTCTCCCTATGTAGCTCTGGCTGGCCTGGAACTGCTAAGTATACCAGGCTGCTCTCAAACTCACAGAAATCTACCTGCTAGGAGCCACACCAACCATGGCCTTAATTGCTTTTGAGGCAGGGTCTCTAGACCAAAGAGACCTTGAACTCTAAGTAGCCAAGGATGACTTTTAAGCCTGATTCTTCTGTCTCTTCTCTCCAAAATGCTGAGATTATAGGTATGAGCCACAACACCCAGTTTATGCAGCACTAGGACTCAAACCCAGGGTTTTGTGTATAATAGGCAAGCACTGTACCAAATGAGCTATTTCCCTAGTTCAAACATGCAAATATAGACATTTATTCATATTCCTGTCTAAATATATACTTATTACTAGTCACCAATGTGACAAACAGAACCTACAGAAAAAAAGACTACATGCTCACATTTAATTCTCTCATAGGGTGGTTTTTTTTTTTTTTCCTCTTTTTCTTTGAGACAGGGTTTCTGTGTAGCTTTGGAGCCTATCCTGGCACTCAGTCAGGCTGGCCTCAAACTCAACAGAGATCAGCCTGCCTTTGTCTCCTGAGTGCTGGGATAAAAGGCGTATGCCACCACCGCACGGCTTCTCCCATAGATTTCAGCTTTAATTCATCATAAAACTTACAGAGGACAAAAATAGACCTAAATACAGAAACAAAGGCAAACAACTAGTAGGGCATGGTGGCTGAAGCAGTAAGATTACTGCAAATTCAAGGCCAGCCTGGTCTACATTATAAATGTCAGGCCACATAGGTTTAGATACATAGTGAGGATTTGTTTCTTTCAACCCCTCTCCGTAAAAGAATAAAACAAAACTGCATGCTCGCACACACTCACAAAAAAAACTCAGAAAGAGATGGACTTTTGTGCTGCTATTTTTTTTTTTTTAATGACATGGGGTCTCACATAGCCTAGGCTGGTTAGCCAAAGCTGCCTTTTGAAAGAAATCATCTTGACACCACTATTTAACCTTCTTGACTTTGTTCAATATATACTAATATTATCTTGTCTTGCTGGGCGTTGGTGGTGTAGGCCTTTAATTCAAGTACTCAGGAGGCAGAGATAGATGGATCTCTGAGTTCAAGACCAGCCTTGGCTACAGAGCAAGTTCCAGGACACCAGGACAGGTTCCAAAGCTACAGAGAAACCCTGTCTCAAAAAAAAAAAAAAAAAAAAAAACAGACAAAAAAAGCATCTTGTTGAGTGCAGGCTCAATGCCCAGGAAAGTTAGATATCTAATAGTTATACCACATTTCTATTTTATGTGCAACTTGTCATGCTAAATATAAATGTGAATGACCATGGAAATAAGGGCAAACTGCCCATATACAGTGGTTCCTCCTGTTTAATACCCATCAAAAACTACAATGTAGAAACATGAGGCCTTACATTCAATTCTTCATACAAAAAAAACCACTCTGTATCAATAGCTTTTCAAATTTATCCAAAATTTAAAAATTGCAGAGATAAAGGCACTTGCTGTGCTTGCAGAGGACTTGCCTTGCATTTGTTCCTAGCACCCATGTAACACCCTCTGTAACTCCAAGTCTGGGAGATCTGACACCCTCTTCTGGCCTCCTTGGGCACTTGTCCTCAGGCATGCACATACCCACATACCATACCAAACACATATACTTAACTCAGTATGAAATCTTAAGATCTTAGAAAAAGGGACAGTGTTTTGCCTACCTGAGAAAGATCAATGAAATGATTGGCTTCGGCCATCACCTTCACTCGGAAGTTGGTACCATCATCTGGGCTCAGGGCATAGCAGAATACCTGAAAGGCAGATTAGGTTGTCCTTAATAACCTTGGCTCCAAACTTCTCAAGACAGTGGGCTTAATACCAATGGCAGAGTATAGCCACCAAAAACTAGTCTTACCTCAAATTTATCAGGATTATGCATGCCTGGGATAGACTGCATAAGGTGAGAAGTAGGGTGATTTCCAAAGTCAGAACTCACATACCCCACACGCAATCGTCCATCACTGAGTTTCAAATCTTTTGGATGTTCATATGGTGGTTTATGAAGGACATTAATCTACGAACAGAATACAATGTTCATTAGTCAAGTCATGTGTAAATTTTTATATTTAAAAAAGTGGTAACAAGGACCAGTGGTATAATTCAATTAGTAGTGTGCTTTGTCTATAATGTATAAAGTCATTTAAGGGTTCTATCTCCGGAACTACATAAAAAGCAGGCATGATGGTGCCCATCTTTGATCCCAAACAAGACAGGCATGGATCTCTGAGTAGGCAGTCAGCCTGGTCTACACACTGAGTTACAGGACAGCCAGTGTGACATAGTGAAATAAAACAAACAACAAAAAACAAATGAACATGTTGGTACACCCCTGTGTTCCCTGCAACTGAGAGAAGCATAAAGATCAGAGATTCCAGGTAATCCTCAGCTAAAAGAGAATTTAAGGCCAACCTGCTATACATAAGACCTGTCTTTAAAAACATTAATTAGAAATCTAACATCATATAAACCCCTAATTAGGAAAAAACTTTGTGGATAACAAACTTCATTTAATTCATGTATGTGGCCAATTTTGATGGCCCCAAGGAAGATCAGCAGTTGTATGATGGTTGCTTCATACTTGACCTGTTCTGAGACCCATGAAATAGCCTGAACAGACTTCTGGGTGAAGAAATGTGGATTGAGTATGGTTATTTTAGAAAATTCTGTATAGAAGCATTTTTTGTGTATGTGTAAAAAATTAGAAAAGAGAAATGAATTTTAAGCTACTCGTTTTTTTTTTTTTTTAATTTTAGAAAGGATCCCAGACTCTATCCACTCATGTTCTAATTCTCAAAGTTGAGTATATAGTACCATATACTATTAAACACCAGTGGGGCTTTTGCTGTTGTTGTCTTAGTGTGCTTTTCTAGACATTCTTATTAGGTGGAGAATTTTGCTTGCTTTTGTTTTTAAGGTAAGAGACTGCTATGTAGCCAAGGCTGGCCTCAATTCAAAATCCTCTAAGTGTTGAAATTACAGAAGTACTGGCTTTATAGGTTTGCATCACCATGCCTAGCTGTGATTTTCACCTCTGTTTTTATTTTAATTTTTTGTTTTTCGAGACAGGATTTCTCTGCATTGCTTTGGAGGCTGTCCTGGAACTTGCTCTGTAGACCAGGCTGGCCTCAAAACTCAAGAGAAACAGCCTGCCTCTGCCTTCTGATGGCTGGGACTATAGATGTCTGCTGCTGCCACCCGGCTCAAGCCTCCATTCCTTTGGAGTGAAGGGACAAGACAGTGAGAATGGCTACGAAAACTTCTTGGCTTGGGTGATGTTACCATGGCCAGTTGGTAAAGCTATATCGTACATTTGATTTGTACAATGTTTTTATTCATTTGCATTTTAATTTATACTGGAAAAAAAGCAAGAGTCACCTTATCCAAGCAGAGGTTCCCATGCCTCTCTGCAATAGCCTTTCTGAAGCCATGAGAAAGAGGGTACAGCATACTATGATGAGGATGCACCGAAGGCAGCCTATTCTTCTCTAGCTGCTCAGCTACAATACTAACCAATTTCTTCATTCGCTCATCATAGTCTGTCCAATCACAGACAATCTAGAGGAAGCAAAAGGAAATTATTACCCAGAAAACCTACAAGGATTTATTTCTAAGTCTTTGACTCCTTAAGATAGTATTAGATAACCTCCTTTTTAAAAAAAAAAAAACAAACAAACAAAAACAAAACATGGACTTGGGGCTGGTACACTTGCCTTTCAAGCCTGACAACTGGAGTTCAATGCCTGGGACCCACATGTTAGGAGAGAAATGACTCCTGAAAGCTGCCCTCTGCCCTCCACTTGTTAAAAAACAACCATCTCCAGCCAGGCTTGGGTATTATGGCACATAAAAACTAAGTGATAACAATACAGAAAGAAAACCAGTGGACTCTTATTCTTTACCTGAAGGCAATGAGCCAAGTTACAATAGGCATCAGGAAAGTCAGGCTTAAGTTTCAGAGCTGTGCGGTAAGAAGCTATTGCTTCTGGGATATTCCCTGAATCCTGGAAGGAAAGCAAGCTTATAAGGAGTTTCCTACAATGACACTTCAGTGCTAAGGTGTCCATGTTAGACTAAGTAGTAGTACCTTGTGAATGGAAGCCAGATTGCTGTGTGCATCTGCAAAGGCAGGATTAATCTGAATGGCACGAGTATAACACTGCAAGGCTCCCTGAACATCCTGCATCTCCTTTAGAGTGTTTCCCATATTAGAGTAAGCATCAGCAAATGTAGGACTGATTCTGAAGGAGAAGACAAGGCTTTGATTATCTCCTGTAAAATCTTTAATGTGATTAAAGCATTTGGGAAGGCTGGGCATGGTGGCATACACCTTTAAGCCCAGTATTAGCGAGGCAGAGGCAGTTTGATCTGTTGAGTTCTAGACCAGGGTCCAAAGCTACAGAGAAACCCTGACTCAAAAAATGAATGAATGAATAAATAAATGAATGAATAAATGGGGGGGGGGGAGAGGGGAGGAGTTGCTGAAGTGGATAGGGAAAAGCCCATGAGACCTCAACCCTACACCACCAAGAAATACAGGCATCTAAGGAATGCTGAGTGGAACAAAAAGTCATCTATAGGGAAGAGCACACTAACTGTTTATCTTACAACAATTAGTCAGCCCTGAAAATATACATCTGAGTAACATACATACTAAGTAAATTATATTTAGAAACATACATGCATATAAAAACACATACTTTTATGCATGTCACAACAATGTAAGAAGAGGCCATAAATCTGAAAGCAAGGGGTTCACAGGAGGTTTTTGCAGGAAAGGGGAAATGGTGCAATTATATTATAAGCTCAAAAAGAAAAATAGAAAAGAGAAGCTATGAACTTTCTACCTTATGGCTTCCTTATAATGCATCAGTGCCTCCTGCAGCTTGCCCTGTTGTTGCAGTACACTTGCTAAATTGGAATGTGCAGCAGCAAACTCTGGGAAGACCTATGGAGTCACAAGCACAGCTGACATTAAGTAGCAGAAAGAATCTCCCGATTATTACCTCCCACAACTCTGAGAACTTCACAATTTACCTTAACTTCTCTCCCCCTTTTCCAAGTTTATTCATTCTTCTGGTCTAGAAGCTTAAAGTCTACTGCTTTCTCCATTTTATACCTATCTCCATTTCAAACATAAGGTAGGCTTCTCTTCCTGTTATTCACACTGAGTAATGCAGCCTCTTTTCTAAACTCCTACCATACCTACCAACCACTAGACACTGACCTTATCCTTCATTTTAATAGCTTTACTCAGCTTACTGGTCATTGGCTTTGTACAGATCTCATCTATGCATAAAATAATGAACTCAATGTAGGGATGTCTTGCATGTCACAGGGTCTTACATAATATAATGAATGATCCTCTTTAAGAAGTGAATGGCAGACAAACTTAATTGCTTTCTCTCTACTGTCACACTGGCTAGACACCCAGCTATATACAGCATTCAACATACTTCTAATGCTTTGCGATATAGGCGGACCGCCTCTTCAATATTGCCCTGTTCCCGTTTGATATTGGCGAGGTTATTCAAAGAGTCTGCATGGGTAGGACACAGACGAAGAGCTGTATTATAACAATCTTCTGCTTCAGCAACCTGGAAAATAAAACAAATCATTCAGAAGAATCAGATTGAAACCACTGTGTTCTTTCCAGTAAGTAACTGCATCATTGAGCCTAATGGCTAGTAATACACCACAAAATGGATACTTTTTCAGTATTCTCCTTTCCATCAACCAAAAACTCCAAAGAAAATCAATGTACCTTCTCAATGTTTAACATGTACAAATGAAGACTTTTCTACCACATAACAAAGGAATGAAAATAGACTAAAATCCTTACGCTGCCCTTCTCTTTGAGAGCATTTGCTAGGTTGCAGTAAGCATCAGGGAAATGTGGCTGCAGTTCTATAGCTCGCCTGTAGGTATCGATGGCCAAGTCAATTAGACCTTGCTCATAGTAGACACAAGCCAGGTTGCCATGCACCACCGCGTGATTTGGGCTCAAACTTAAGGCACGAAGATAAGCTGCCACAGCTCTGTGAGAAAAACAAAAATAAACATATATACATATACATATGCATATCTATATACACACACAAAATGCAACAAATATTAATATATCATTACTATAAATGTTTATGACATGTGTACAGGTTGGCATAGATCATGGTACACATTCCAGAAACAAAACTCAGATCATTAGGATTGCATGCTAGGCACTTTTACCTGCTGAACCATCTCACCTGCCCAAAACTAACTTTAATGGGTATTTTACTACAATTAACTCAATACACTGTACCAAAATGTTAATTAATTTTAATAATGAAAACTAACTTATGACATATTTCATTGTGTATCAAAACCTCACCTTTACAAAATGTATTTTCTATAGTGCTAAGAACTGAACCTAGGCAGGACCTCATGCATGCTAAACAAGGGCTCTACCACTAAACACTATCCTCAGCCTTGCATTTTTACTTTGGAGTATGTGGTTTTGTTTTGTTTTGCTTTGTTTTTGAGACAAGGTTTGAATGTCCCTTCTCCCTGCTGGCCTCTCAAGTGCTGGAATTTTAGCCTAGCCTGGTCTTGAACTCACAGCAATCTTCTGCTTCAGACGCGCAAGTGACAGGAATAATTGTGCACTCATTCACACTCAAGTAGGTTTTCCTTTGACAAATTAAAAAAAAGTCAAGGCTGGAGAGGTAGTTCAGAAGATAAGAGCACCACTGGTTGCTCTTCCAAAGGACCCTGGTTTGAATCCTAGAACCCACATGGCAGCACACAGCCATATGTAACTCCAGTTCTAGAGGATTTGATGCCCTCTTCTGGCTTTCACACATAGTTCACAAATATACATGCAGGCAAAACACCCATAGACGTAAAATAAAATCATGAAAATACCATGGGACTGGTAAGCTGATCCGTGGTTAAAGTATTCAGGATGTAATTACAAATACCTGAGTTTGGATCCCTATATCCATCTAACAAGCAAGATATGGCCATGCACATACACATCACCTCAGCACTAAGGAGGGAGCTGGGACAGGAGGGATCACTGAGGCTTACTAACCAATGTCCTCTTCTGAACTCTCATGTGCTGTCCACCCACACACACATGTGCATACAGACCCTTTCACATATATACACACACACACAATTTAAAAAGCAGTTTCTTATACAAATAAAGTAAAAAGTCAAATTTTACTTAGCTTTCAGAATCAGATCAAAAGAACAAATTAAGTCCAAAAGGTATTCAATTCTAACAGTTTTACAATAAAAGAAATCCCAACCGAACTAAGTGGAAGGATAAAAGCATTCAGGAAAACCAACAAGTAAAAGTCAGCCAACAACATCTGTAAGGCAAATGTAAGAAAGCAGACATCAGGAGGGAAAACTACACTCTAGAAAAATGTACTTCAAGAAGTGATTGTCACATTCTAGTCCAAACTCTGCAAAGAAAAGAAAATTGATCAAACAGAACATTCTCACCTGTCAAAAATGCGTGCCTCTTTCAAGACATTTCCTAAATTGATATAAGCATCCAGAAAATTTGGGTCAAGGGTGACAGCCTAAAAATTACAAGACAGTTAGTTACTTAGAAAGATATAGGATTGTTTTCACATTAACTTCTCATTCAACTTTTATTCTGAAGTCATTTTAGATACCCAATTACATTTTCTAGAATAAATCTCATTTTGCTTTTAAAAACATTTCTTATTTAGTTCCCTCTCATCTACAAGCCCCGTTAATGTCAAAAATAATGGAGAAGGGGTGGGCATGTACCTCAGTGACAAAGCACTTGCCCACATACTCATACCTAGGTGTCATTCCCTGCATCACAAGGAAAAAAAAAAAAAAAAAAAAAAAAAAAAACCTCATGAGCAAACTGGATCCAAGTTAATTAACTGAGCAAAGTACTTCTTTCCTTCCTTTTACCTATTCTTTGAGATGGGGTTTCACTATGCTCTGGCCAGGCTGACCTCAAACTCAGAGATCTACCTGCCTCTGCCTCCCTAGTGCTGGGATTAAAGGAATAAACCACCATACAAGTTGAATATTTCTAATGATTGGCCCTATTTTATTCATTCAGTTTAAGGACTCTAAAAGACAATGGCAGAAACAAGTGTGTACTTCTTATATAAACACAACCCATTAAGTCCTTAGTAAGATACCTAATTAGAGCTGTAACATTAAATCAGTCATGGCAGAAGCCTATAACCCAAGCAGTTGGGAGGTGGAGTAGGAGGATGCAGAGTTCCAATCATCCTCAGCTACACAGTGAGTTTGAAGGCAGCCTGGGGCTATATGAGACACTATCCAAATAAGCAAATGATATTCTGGTGCTAGGGTGTAGCCTAGTATACCTAAGGCCCTAGAAAGATATCCTCTAGAACAGTAGTAAATGTAAAGTTAACCAAAACACTGAAAGATAATAAATAATTTCAAGGGTTTTTATTTGGGGGGGGGTTCAAGACTGGGTTTCTCTGTATTGCTATGGAGCCTGTCCTGGAACTCGCTCTGTAGACCAGGCTGGCCTTGAACTCACAGAAATCTGCCTGCCTCTACCTCCCAAATACTGGGGTTAAAGGAGTGTGCCATCAATGCCCAGCAATTCCAAGTATTTTTAAGATGCCTAGAAACACTTCTTCCTCACCGAGATAACCAACAAGTCTCTTACCAGATAAAGATATAACACATTTAGTTTAGACTATCTACAGTCATAGATATCTATCCCAAAAATGTTTTTGAACTTTTGCTTTGAGATAAGGTCTAATTCTGCTGCTATCCTGAAATTCACTATGTAATCCAGTGTAGCCCAGAACTCATAGTGATCCTCCTTCCTCAGCCTCCCATGTGCTAACATTTATAGGCATAAACCACACAAACAAGCTTTACCTAACCAAAAATGGAAAGATAAACAAAAAGTGTATATGTTATCTGTGGGACACAGTATGGTTTGATCTATGTATACGCTGTCAAAAGATCAATCAAAGCCAGGTGTGGCCCAGAAGTACAGTTCTGAGTTCTAGGACAACCTGATCTACATAATGAGCTCCAACATAACCAGGGCAATATAGAAAGACACTGTTTCAATATATTCATCACCTTACCAACTTCCTTTTTTGTTTCCTTTTAAAGAAGTTTTTTTCTTTTTTTTTTTTTTTTAACTGTTATTTGAGGGTTTTGTTTTGAGAGTCAGCTTGGAATTTTCTATGTAGAACAGGCTTGTCCTGGAACCCACAGAGATTCTCCTGCTTTTGCTAGAACTAAGGGCATGTGCCACCACTTCCTGCCTTAAAAAAATCCTCTTACTGGGCTTGGTAGCATTTGCCTATAATCACCAGCACTGAGGAGGTAAAGGTGAAAGGATCAAGTTCCAGGCCAGTCCAAGTTAAATAATGCCTTTATCAAATACATGTGAAGGTTTCTTTTTTAATTAAAAATATTTCATTTATTATTGCTGTTGTTCATGTGTGGTGGAGCTCATCCATGGCGCATGCATATGTGGAAGTCTGAGGACCAGTGGGGTCAGTTCTGTCTTTCCACCTGGGATTCTGAGGACTGAACTCAGGTGTCTCGGTCACAGAGCAAGCACTTTTTACCCACTCATCAGCCCTCTTTTAAATTGTGTTGTTCTCTGTTATTTAAGGTAGTCTTTCTATACAGCCCAGGCCAGCCTTGAAATCTCTCCTGGTTTAAGCTCCTGAGTGCTAGAACTATATGAGCCTGTGTCAGCATATCCAGATTTTTTTTTCATTTTGCTTTTTCTTTTCAGTCTACTTAACAAGTGAAACAAGTTCTCACTGTGTCCTCCAAGTTCACTTTGACCTCCTGGGCTTCTAGCAAACACATGTCTAGCTTCTTTTAGCAAATTTTGAAATATAAATGTGGTCACCATCCAGTGTAGTAAGTGGGTCACTAATGCACAGACAATTACAAATTTATCGTCTTTAACCAATATTTTCCTACTCCTACCTTCAACCCTATCCACACTAGAATCTACTAACCACCTTACTGTTTCTGTGAAACTAATGTATGTGATGTGTACACGTGTTCACGAATGTGCACATACATGTATGTTCCAGTCAGACTATGGATGCCAAAGATTGGCGCTATGTGCCTTCCTCAGTTATTCTCCACTCTATTTTTGAGTCTGAGTCTCTCAGTGAGCCTGGAGTGTACCAATTTGACTAGGCTGGCTGGCCACTGAGTTCTAAGGATCCTACCCCTACCTCCCCAGCCTGATACTGACTTTTTTAGATTCCACATCTAAGTGTGATCCCACACATTATCTGTTTTGCTTCTATTTAAAATAAAGCATAGAAAACTAACAAAAAAGACAAATCTAATATAAAACTATGCACAGCAAAGAAAATCATTATCCAAGTAAAGAGACAACTCATGGCTAAAAATATTGAAAACCACACATCTGGGAAGAGACTACTACTAATATGTGAGTTCAAGATTTTTGGGCTGGTGAGATGGACGAGGAAAAGCCACTAGCTATTTTTCCACAGGACCTTGGTTCAGTTTGCAGCATCCACACATGTGCGGGGGGGGGGGGGGCGCTCACTATCTTTTAACTCCAGCTCCAGTGAGTACCTCTGCACTGAACATACATGGTGGGTGACACATATTTTCAGGCAAAACACTCACATGCATGAAAATAAAAATGCATGAGTCTATAAAGAATTGAGCTCAAAGCCTTACTTAGTTAGCTATGAGACCCTTTTAAAAAGATTTATGTTGTGGAACATTTGTTTAAAAAAAAAAAAAAAGAAAAAAAGACAAGTATATGAATAAGTAAATGGATACTTCCTTGCTTTTCAATATGACAAGTTATTCCGAACAATAAACATTTATTGTATTAGTTCCTATTCCAGACTTGGAATCAGCTTTTTCATCAAGATACCTTGAACCCTCTGGTACTCTCCCTTTATAACCTGTAGTATTACTTCACTCTGAATAGATACCTTACTTCTTTTGAGGAAAAAATCATTTTAAAACCAGATGGAGTAGCTCACCTGTGCACTCAGAAGGCTTAAGAGGATTGCTACTAGGTTGAAGGCCAACCTGAGCCACATAGTAAGTTCCAAGTCATTCTATAGAGTGAGACTTTTTCTCAAAAGAAAACAAAAAAACAAAACTAATGATAATAAAGTATTTTTGCTGGGTGTTGGTGGCACACGCCTTTAGTCCCAGCATTCGGAAGGCAGAAGCAGGCAGATCTCTGTGAGTAGGGAGGCAGGCCTGGTCTACAGAGTGAGTTCCAGGACAGGCTCCAAAGCCACAGAGAAACCCCATCTCAAAAAAAAAAAAGTTTTTACAATGATTAACAGATAATCTCAATACAAATCTCAAAAAACTGCCATGTTATATGCCACCTGCAAATGCTACAATTCTGTCAAGGAAACAAAAATATTACACAACTGTTTAAGTAAATGCCTACTGTTTTATTCTAGGGAGAACGTTCTGTACACATAAACATTTCATAAATATCAATTATTAATGACTAACCTTTTCAAAGTGATGAATTGCAAGCCAAATCTCCCCTTGTGCATTAAAAACACAGCCGAGATTACTCCAAGCTACTGCAAAGTTTGGTTGCGTCTCAATTGCTTTCAAATAACATGCCTTAGGAGGGTTTAATGAAAGAAGACGAGAGGGGAAGGAGATAAGGGGAAAGGGGAAAATTTGTAAAGGGGAAAAAAAAAAAGATCGGGGAGGGGGAAGAAGGTGATATCATTATTTCTTCTCTGACCAGCCAAAAGTGACCCTGCAGCATAGGCTCGCTTGCGCTAAAACTAATGCGCTGCCACAGCTGGCTGCTCCTGCGCCTGCGCCACCAGAACCCAAGTGCAAACCACCATGTTCAGTTCTACCAACCAAAGAGCAATCCTCACCCCTAGGAGGTTGGGTGCTACTCAACTCTAATGCCATACTCCTCTTATCTGAATACCTACAGGCTCTAGAGACTGATGCTCAACAGGGCACCATGAAGTTCAAGTTTCCCTAGCCCACATTTCCCAAAATGTGTCTGCAAAATGCTAAGACATATCACAGGAAAAACAAAAAAACAAACAAACCAAAAAAAAAAAAAAAAAAAAAAAAAAAAGCAACAAAAACCACACCAAATTTCATAATTAAATAAAACAAGAAAATAGAAATAGGTTTCTTAAACTGGGTATGGGGCCACAGGCCTGTTCCAAGCTCTTGTGAGGTGGAGGCAGGAGGATTGTAAATTCGAGATCCTCAACTCCAAATTGAGCTGGAGGGTAGGAGAGGAGACAAAGGAAACAAAAAAGTTTCTTTCCTACAGAACTTCCCCAAACCTTCAATCTCTCATTATGCATTTTTAGAAAACTAAAAGAATCGAGGGAAATGCCTCTCACTGCAATGTTCTTAAGATCAAAACGAAGCTACTGAGCCATACCCCCCCCCAAAAAATGTTTTTACCAAGCCAGTCATCATCATTTGTGCTTTAAGTTTCAGACTCTTCAGTCTCACTGCACACACCTCTCTTCCTGAGGAGGAAAATAAAACCTCACATGACAGGATTGCACCTAGGTTGAGGTCCCTGTAATGCGAGCGCAAACATCGCTGGCGCCACCTAACAGCATCGCACTGCGCAATCGCTGCGAACTGCTGCGCTACATAGAACACCCCTAGACGCAGCAAACGGCCAACCAGATCCATTAATCTACTAGACAGGCCCATAGAGAATATTTGCTTAATGAGATTAGGTGGACTCAAGGTACGTTAAAACCCAATTTATCCAAAAAGGCTACAGAATAGGACTGAGAGAGCCAGTCAATCAGATTACTCATCTAGTCAACCGTTCACAGGGGCTCATTCGCACGCAATGCGCATTAACGCTGCGCAGCCTTTGCGCTACTGCAGGGTCACAGCGCATCATCAGAAGAGCAGAATGCTGCAATCCAAACAAAGAAGAAAAAGGAAAAAAAATGAACAACAAGAAGAGTTAGAAGCTTTTACTAGTAAATCATCTAATAATTATAATCTTAATTAACTTTTACTTGTTTTTTGACAGAATTGTGGCTATAGTATAAAACATTCTTTTACATAACTTGCTTGTAAATAAAATTATTATTTTAAGCTGTTTCTGAAGCCACAAGACAGAAGATTCAGGCATGGAGGCAAATTGTTTTGCTGTGGCAGTTACAAACCCGTTACCATATTTCTCATCATGTGACTTTTCGGTGCGTTCCTTGCTGGAAGAGGAGGAGGAGGTTGTGTGTCTGCCCTAGATCCAGGCCTCGAGCTCCCTTCAGCGAGGCACCTTACGCATGGAATAGGAGGTTTCACCCACCTGAAACCTTCTAAATACAATATCAATGGTGAAAAACCAAAAACAAGAGAGAAAATAAAAACAAGATCATTAGTAAAAGTTCAACAAAGCAATTGAAATTCTTTGGATGTCTATTACATATGGGAATGAGGACAGTCTCAAGTCTGTAACATGGGAAACATGCAGAAGGGAGAGGGTTAATCAGGGCTATTGCATACAGCAGGGATTTTTTGCTGGAAGAAAGGCTCTTCATTTTCTACAAAGACAACTTAATTTGCTGCCATATACTAGGAATGTATGCTGGCTTGAATTTTCAAATGCACTGATTACAAAAGAAATACATTGCATTTCACTCAAGAGTATTTTCTGGTTTACTAAGTTCTCACAAAAAAAAAAAAAAACCAAAAAACCAAAACAAAAACCAAAACAAACAAAACAAACAAACAAACAAAAAAAAACCAAAAAAAAAAAAAAAAAAAAAAAACCAGAATGACATTTTTCAAACTAGGTGTCTCCAGAGCTCTGAAATAAAGAAGTCAGCAACCTAAGGCAGGCGCAACGTCTCAGCCTAAACCGATGTCTAAAGCTGCAGTGAAGTGCAATTCATGTTAGCTGTCCGCTTGGTGGGGTGATAATTGATAGGAGCATATCAGATATTTGTTCTAGAAATTACCAATTGCTTTATCAGCTAAAATAGAAATCAAGATATAGTTCATCAGCTGGAAACCTACATAAGGTTAATCCACAGTGTTGGTAGAATTTATGAGTTTTGCACTTAAAACTAGTGCTTTTAACATTAGGTGGTGCTAAAAAGCCTTCTCCCTCCCTAGATGAGCAGTCAAACAGACAGCTACGCTGCGCATACACTCCACGCATTAGCATGCGCGTGGGGCTCAGAGCAACAGGTGGGAGTTTCAGAAGCATTCTGGTTTCTCCCCACTCCTCACCCCTGCAGCGCGGTTGCGTAAGGTGGCTTGTAACAAGACAACTTCATTTATAAATTTAATTGTAAATTATACCAAAAGCTTTAATTAACCCAACCTGGTATTCAAATTCATCATTTGGAAACACAGAATGCTAAAAGCCACCTTTCCACTTTGGCAAGTTTTCTTTCGATCAGTCCATTTCCCAAACAAACCAGCTTTGTCCTTCTGATTTTTTTTTTTTTTTTAAGGAGGTGGGTGGGGAGGAATAAAAGGAAGTGAGGAAGAAAAAGAAGGTAGACAACTAGGATTGGTGGGGAAAGAGGAGAGAGGAATTTGGGGAAGAAGTGGGGACAAGAGGGGCAGGAGGTTCCAATTATTAATTTGCAATATTTTAACAGCCTTTCTTCCACTGTAAAAAGGGTGAGGAAAATGAAGGGAGGAAGGTTAAATAAGATTTTTAAATGCCAGTATTACAGGGTAACATTTGGATGAAATTCTTCTCCACTTACAAGCCACAAAGGACTTAGAAGAGCAGCGTTTTCAATGGCACCTGCATCATATAGGCGTCTTGAGCCAAATCACAGGCACTCTGCTTGTCACTAGCAGGCAAGCCTCAGATTTGAAGGAATGTTACAGATTCCCACATAAGATCATGACGGAGCCCATTGTTATAAAGATGACCTAGCTCAGCAGAAAGGCTCCACAATGCTCACATTCTTGCTTTACCCCCAGATTTAGAACAGATATGCCAAAGCCTGGTCCTGCTCTAGTCTGAGGCAAGTCATGCCGGCAGTTTTCCTCAGTTTCATAGGACTATTTTGTAAAGATAGTTCAATGAAGAGTTGAAGACTTGGCAAAAGGTACAGGTTTTCCTAACTAATGCTTAAATGTGTTCTAGCAAACACCTACCTTGGCTTCTTCCAAGCGACCCAGGGCTTTGAGCAGGTTCCCCAGGTCACTGCGAACACAGTACAAATCCTAGAAACCCAGAGATAGTGTCATTAATTATACCATTTTACCCATAAAAATATCCCAACATCACTTCTATGCATCTAGCTGTGTCATTTTATTGTCAATTAAAAGCAGCACTTGACAAATTTAAGCAAAGGCTCACAACTTCTCACCTTTTAATTCTCAGAAAATCCAAAAGTGAAAATCTAACCTGAACTTACAAACCATTTACAGAATTTACTTCTCTTGCTTAGTATAAATACTATCTTTGGCTGCACAGATACAAATGTGTTTTTGCTATCAGCTGCTGCTCCAGTTCTGGCTGGGAGATCTGTATTGTCTAACATCCTTTCAAATGCATTTGGCCTCATCAGTTTCAAACACAAGACTACAAGACCTTTCTAGGGCCTCTCTCCTCTCCAAATGTCACCCGTTGGGGAAAAAAAGATTGAATATTTATTCAACTGTTTTATTCAAGGTTATGATGAATCACTCCTGTATCAAGGACCAGAAATTTTCCACAGCGGGGGGTAAAAACAGCGCTGCACTTAGCAAGTGATTACCTGTCAACAAACCTACCCTTTGGCTCTCAGGCTTATTTAGAAACCCTGACTTCATTTCATGCCTAGGCAGAAGGATTACCATCCAACCACAGCCTCAATCCTGCCACCTGCCACTAGATTACTCATTAGTATTAAGTGCCATCAGAGCTAAGTGGGTGAATAATGAAAAGCAGTTGACTCTGCTTTTTATTAGCAGCTCAATTGTGTTGCTAGTCCTGACTCACTAGTCCGTTCATCAGTACAACATGTACGACAGACAGTAAGCTTAAATTTTTATTTGCATAGTCTGCTTTTGTCAGTGGAATCTAACAGTCAATAACAAGCAGTGATAATGGCAATATGAAGCATGTTTATCATCCCCAAACTGTTATATGTGTGAAAGAACCTTAAATCCTATAAAGTGAAATTTTATTAAATATTCCAAAGAATTGCCAAGTATATTATTCTTCTAACAACTATATAATGGTTTCCAGAATGGGTTAGTTTTACTAATAAACTACTACCTCTATTGTTTACTATCATCCACTGGATGAACCAAACAGTCTGCCAATAAGATAATGGCTGGCTAAACTGGGACAATTCCATGATCTGCCTGAGTTAGTGCCATCCCTCACACAGGGACTGAAGCTTTGGAAGAGTATGATTATCTTCTAATGGACTTAAGCACAGCCCGATAGTAATCCTCAAAGTACTCATGTACCAGGAACAGTAACACACACCTGTAATTCCAGCACTTGGGAAACTGAGGCAGGAAGATCATTACGAGTTCAATCCCCCAACCCCATCAGTAGTTATATCATAGTGAGTTCTAGGCCAGGCTGCACTACAGAATCTGACTTGAAATAAATAAATAAATAAACAAATAAATAAATAAATGTGACTCATAGGTACCATTAATCTTATTGCTGATTAATCACTTCTAGTTAGTCAAAACAATTTGGAATCCACTTGTATTCTGAGAAATAATGGAATTCTATAATCCTGCTAGCTACTTTGTGTAGGTTTTCTCCTCTGAACAAGGTACCCTGTTTGCAAACTATGTCTAAATAGTCCAATTTGCTTACACAAGCTCCCTTTACTAGATTTTAGTAGAGAAATATATCTTTAGACTTTTACCAATCTCTACGGCTGTTCTGAATCACAAAAATCAGAAACACCACAATAACTAAGAAAGGTTGTATATTTTATTTTATTTTTTTAAAGATTTATTTATTATGCATACAGTGTTCTGCTCCACATACATCTGCACACCAGAAGTCACCAGATATCATTACAGATGGCTGTGAGTCACCATGTGGTTGCTGGGAATTGAACTCAGGGCCTCTGGAAGAGCAGGCAGTGCTCTCAACCTCTGAGCCATCTCTCCAGCCCCCAGGTTATATATTTTAAAGGTGTATTTTAGTATTTTAATTTTGAATGTGGGTAAAGACATTAGTGCAGTTAAAGGTATTACATTTTCCTGGAGCTGGAGTTACAGGAGGCTGTGAACGCCTAACATGGGCACTCGGATCTGAACTCCAGTGCTCTTAATTCACTGAGCCATCTCTCCAGCACCACCTATATATTTTTACCCACTGTTACATAATTTTAACAGCTAGGGTTTTTTTGTTTGTTTGTTTTCTTTGTTTGTTTGTTTCAAGACAGGGTTTCTCTGTATTGTTTTCAAGCCTGTCCTGGCACTCACTCTGTAGACCAGGCTGGCCTCGAACTCAGAGATCCTTCTGCTTCTGCCTCCCAAGTGCTGAGATTAAAGGCATGCACCACCAACGCCTGGCACCAGCTATTTTCTATAAACTCTTAAATGGATGATTATATTTAGTTATATCATCTAGATTCATCACAGCATGCTACAACAAAAATAGATTATATTATGAATTGGAAATGTGGGTCACTTGGTAGAAAAATTAACCAGCATGCCAAAGGCCCTAGGTTTGATCTCCAGAGCTGTAAAAAAAAGAAAATGATTATAGCAAAATAAGTCCATTTTAGGGTAAGGCAAAACATATCCTATTAAGTAGACTAGTAGAGTGGCTGAGAGGCAGAACACTTGCCTGGGATACAACAAGGATCTGAGTTCAACCCCTAATATCACAAAAACAAACAAAACAACTCTCTTTTGGCTGGCATGGTGGCACATGTTAATAATTCCACCACTTGGGAGGTGGAAGCAGATCATTAACAATTCAAGATCATTCTCAGCTACTCAGTCAGTTCATGACTCAGTCTCAAAAATGCCAAAATAGGGCTGGAGAAAAGGCTCAGTGGTTAAAAGAACATGCTACTACTGTTCCAGAGGGCCTGAGTTCAACTCCTAGCACCCATAAGGCAGACATGAACCGCCTGTAACTCCAGCTCCATGGGATCTGACATCTCTTTAGAGCCTCCAAGAGCTCTACTACACTCATGTGCACAGATACAACACACACATACATAATAATAGTGTTTAGAAAACCAAATAAAATAAATATAATGAAACCCAAGTATACAAAAACACACATTCATGCACACACATATGAATACTCAAATGTCTACAAAAAATAAAAGAAATACTACAATTCTCCAAAAGTACACTCAAAACCCTGTATCAGTTTCCGCTTAATCTGTCAAATCAAAACGGTATCTAAGAGAACCACTTTGCTTAAACCTGGCTCATTCTGTCCATCCCTAGTTAATATTTATGAAAATCTTTATTTAATAATATACCTAAAAACCAAGGAAAATAAATTAAACACACACACACTCAAAGGAGAGATTTAAGCTGAGCCTTCATAGCTAAGTAGAGATGTAAAGGTATAGGACATCAGAAGCAAAGAAAAAATAAGGTATGATTAAAGGAACCAGAAATAAGGTATTCCTGTGTCCCTCCGTAGTGTAATAACTGCTTCCCAACTTTCCTCTTAATATTCCACCTCTTGATTCCCTTAACATCCTTCTACATACGCACACATTGAGGAAAATCATTCCTATAAAAACTTACAGTGGTTCTCAACTGCCTCTCAAATTCAAAATCAGCAGCCTCTATTCTGAAATCTCCCAATTGACTCTGCTCTATCTACTACACTCACTTCTTGTCACTACTTGACTCACCACTTTAGCCTGGGAAGTCTACTTGCTGTTTACCTTCCTACAGAATCTTAGGTTCTAAGCAGCCTCTCAAGGGAGTCTTCTGATTAATACTCTCTAACAATAATCACCGAGGAGCTTACATCTTTTTTCTTTTATGGGTCAGGTCAGGTCTGTCTTAAATGATAACCCCTCCAGAACACATTCCCCAACTCCTCAGCAAGCACAGTACACAATAAGCACTTGAATATTTAAATGTGACCCTTGCCAGACAACATTAGCAAAAAGAGTGGCGAGAAGTAGAAATGGAAGGTTTTCTCATAGTTCAGATATCTGGGACTCTAACAACAACAAAATCAACATGACAGTAGCACATGATTGGATGTCAGCCTCTCAACCCTGTCATCTACCATCCAAGTAGAAACAACTCAACAACTTACACACAAAGGCTCACAGCTATCATACAAAAGAGAACTGTATGTATGCATAATCTGTAAAGGGATTGCCAAGTATGGACAAGTCTAACAAGCTAATATGAGAAAGAACACCAGAAGAAACACAGCTTTAAAATATGACAAGCTAAAGTTGCAGCAACTGTATTAAGCCATAGAACATTACAGAAAGCAGCTCCAAATATAAAAATATAAAACAGCTCTATCTCAAAACTTTTGTAGTTTTCTGTAGTTTAGTCTGACTAAATTTTACCTATAAACTTACAAGAAAAACACTGCTGAAAATCAGTAATATGAACTTAACATTTTAATTTTTCACTGCTACAAAATCAAAATATTCTGAGTTTCTCCAACTAATTTTCAGACAGCCAGATGCACCTATAATTCAGCCCATGTTAGAGCAGCAATTCATATAGCACAAAGAACACACTGTGAGCAACAGACTCAAAACCCTGGCAGCGCTGAATTAACAACAGGCAGTTGACAGAAGTTCCATCTAGTTAGGATTAGATATCCTGAAAATTTAAAATACAACCACTGTAGTGTATTTTAGTGTAGTGTATTAAGTGAAATTTAAGTGAACAGAGAAATAAAGTAGCATCTCTCCCTACAACACACAGAGGCCAGGTGGGAACACACCAATGCCAATAAGAAGTAAACTCACTGGCTGGGCGTTGATGGCCATTGTCTTTAATCCCAACAGTTGGGAAGCAAAGGCAGGCAGATCTCTGCGAGTTAGGCCAGCCTGGTGTACAGAGCTAGTTCCAGGACAGGCTCCAAAGCAATACAGAGAAACCCTATCTCAAAAAAACAAAACAAAAAAATGTAAACTCATTGTTTTAGTACTATCTTGCTTTGGAAGTACATAATGCTAAGTTTCCTATTAGATAGGTTAGATATTTAACAATACAAACTAGGAATAGTATTATTTACATAATACCATGGCTTTTTCTCACTTTAATTTTTCTTTCTCAATATAATGGGTATACTCTCAGCAAAGGTAATACTCTACACAGAGAGAGAACTAAAAACCTGAGCCAGGCTGGGCGTTGGTGGCACACACCTTTCGTCCCAGCACTTGGGAGGCAGAGGCAGCCATATCAACGTGAGTTCTAGACTAGCCTGATCTACAAGAAGCCCTGAGCCAAGGCTAAGGATCTAGCTCATGTAAAGAGAGCTTATCTACCATGCATGAAGTCTAGGGTCTATCCACAGTACCACATAAACTAACTAGGCATAGTGGCACATTCCAAAATTTCAGCACTGGGGAAGCAGGAGCAGCAAAATCAGAAGTTCAAGGTCAGCTTATCCTCAGTAACTTAGAGGCCAGCCTAGCTAGGCTATACAAGATCCAATGTCAAAATAAATTAACAAAGTTAACCAAGATTACAACTATACAAGAGAGGCAAGCTGAGTTTACATAGTCAACAAGTAAAAGATAAACCTAACCCTGATTACGAAGGAAAAGAATGTACTATCCTGTGCCTTAGGAAGAATCAAGTCTATGCTCTACAGACAGCCCATTCAAGGTTAGGTGCCTAAAACTTTATTAGTAACTAGATCTGACTGCAGTAAAAATTACAAATGCAGCCGGATGTTGATGTCCCATGTCTTTAATCCCAGCACTCAGGAGGCAGAGACAGGCGGATTTCTGTGAGTTCAAGGCCAGCCTGGTCTACAGAGCTAGTTCCAGGACAGGCTACAAAACCAGAGAAACCCTGTATCCAAAAAATAAAACAAAACAAAACAAAAAACAAATGCACTCTAATTTCAAATATACACTGAGTACCTCTGAAAAAAAATATGTAAAAAATTACTTTCATTATCTGCAAGCTGATGCAATTTCTCACTAGATTAAAAACAAAATGAATAAAAACCATTTATTGTAATCAACTCACAAATAATAAAAACAACATGTAGCTAAACTAAGGTAGTCATTCTAACGTACTGGCCCCCAGACCCAAACTCTATACATCTCATTGAACAGTTAAAACAGCCATTATCTTTTTTTAAAAAATAAAATAGTAAATGTTTAAATTTTCAAAATTCAACTTTAAATTAACTATTTAAAAGCTATTAAGATGAAAATGACTACAAAGCTTTGGCAAACTAAGATAAACTTCAGTTTGCTAAATTGTAAGACTGGAGTAAAGAGCCAGGCAGATATGCAGAATGGTTTCCAGGCTGTGCACAAGGACTGCCTTTGGGAACTAAAGGCCTTTTTCAACTTTCATTTCTTGTTCATGTCAACATTTGTTTCGATAATTCAACTTCAACTTTCAACCTCCATTTCACCACCGCCTGCTACATGATCTCAGGAAAAGTCTATAACCCTGAGTTTGTTGGGGTTTTTATTCCTGGTAAAACTGTTAATAATGCCCTCCTCATCAAAGGATTATGGTAAAGATTCGGAAAGATTTATCTGAGCAGCAGTGTCTTGAGCTTGTAGAAGACTTTCGATAATGGCAGCTGTACCAGTTAATCATTAAGCACTTCCAGGGTGGTTGCAAAGTCAATGTTGATGTAGCTCAAGTGTATGCTGATGCTGCCAAGACCCACCCCACCCCGTCACTTATCTCTTAAAAGTTTACAGCCACTTTCCCTTAATTACATCAGCAGTTAGTTTCCAGTGCAAGTTTTACATCCCTGTATTTAAATTCTTTTGTTTCACATACATGTTTTCATCTTTCGAAGACTCTATTGTCTGTCAACCAGAGTACACTTGCTCCCTGAAAACACATTCAACTTACATTAAAAAAGAATTGAAGAACTAATGCAAAGTCTGGTCTGGATGTGCAATTGCCTTAATTCTACTACTTTTAACTATATTGGGGGAGGGGAAATATTGAGATTGCTTTGTAGTCTAGTTTTCACATCGCTAATATACTAGCAACTTAAAAAAACTTTTTAAGCATGCCTTAATCCCAGCATTCAGGAGGCAGAGACAGGAGAATCTCTTGAGTTTGAGGCCTGTCTGATCTCTCCAGAGCTAGTTCCAGGACAGGCTTCAAAAACAATACAGAGAAACTCTGTCTCAAAAACCCCCCAAAAAATTATATTGCGTATTAACATCTTTGTGTAAGGATTCAGGCATTATGCTGGCTTGCCCCGTCACCTGGCAAAATGCATTCAGGCAAAACGGTGCAAAGGACCCCTTTGAAAACCAGATCCCACCCATTTATGCTCTCTTTCCCCATGTTCCCTGAGGCAAACAAGACTTTTCCTGTCTCCCTCTTCTCTTCTGTCCTCTGTGTCTGTGTCTCTTTACTTCTGTTCTTTCCTCCCCCACCCCACTTTCCCTTTCTAATAAAACTTCTCACTAAGCTCTGTCTTCCTGGCATGTTTGTCCCTCCACCTCGGACACCCTCACCTGCCATGGAATCTACCAAGGTCCCCCTCAAGATTTATCATAACATTTTTTACCCATCATTTCTTGTAAATACCTATCAGAATTTAACCAAAATTCAATAAATTAGCACAAAAAACTTGTGTTTTGTGCTTTATTAGCATTACCAAAAGAATTTTGTTGAGGGTAGATAATTTTCATGGTTTTTTAAGACAGGATTTCTCTGCCTAACAGTCCAGGCTGTCCTGGAAGTCACAGAGATGGGCCTGCCTCTGCTGAGATTAAAGGCAGCTTGCTCTTACATTTAAATATTAGGGTGGATTTTTTTAATGTCATGCTAAGCAAGTCAAATCAATTTCATCATTTCAAGTGCATAAACATATTAAACATATCAACTCGACTTTCATAAAAAATCTATTGTCTGAAGTATCAAATAATGTTTGTTCTCTGGATTGCTGTGAAGGGAAAGCTGATAAAACTTTTACTTACAGGATTGTACTGAAGAGCAGAGACGTAAGCTTGTACTGCTCCTTCCATGTCACCTGCTGCTACCAAGGCTGCTGCCAGGTTAATATAACCATCAATGAAATCAGGCTTGAGCCGCAAGGCATGTCGATAATGCTCAATTGCTTCCTGCAACTGCCCTCTTTCCTTGTACACATTCCCCAAATTCGAATAGGCTTCTGCTAGAAGGGGATTCTGTTTAATTGCCAAGGTGCTAAAATGAGCAGATCTGGAAAAGTGGAAAGCGTTGATGCACGGATATGCATGTTAGAAAAAAGGAGGCATGGCCCATATGCAACTGTAACAGTTCCCAGAAAACCCTGTGCTATGGAACATTATCCTTTAACCAGCACACACCAGAAAAGTTTGAAAACTAAAACTTTCTAAGATGAGAGTATCCAAATTTCATATAGGAAAGCTGGGTCTTATGTAAGAAAATTGTTTAGAATCTACTATCAAACTGCAACATTGTATAATTAAGATCAGGAATAAAAATGCTATAGGCTTGAATCTCATTTTCCATTTGTTGTTGAGATTTAATGACAGGCATCTTCAATGCCTAAGTGTGCCAAAATGGTAATTTACTAAAAGATCCAAAGCACAAATTCTTCTCTTTTGATTAATTCAAGGGATTAGCTAAAAGCAACAATTTAATGAGGGTATTTCCAACTTGAATTAATATGCTCCTACTACCAGAGGCCCTCAAGCTGACATGTCTGGATGCTCAGTGATGTACACTAAGAATAACTATCTGGAAAGAATTAGTAAAGCAGCAGCCCCAAGTGATAAAATCTAGGGGAAAAACGTCATTCTGATAATATGCTCCCCCCACAAAACGGGGGAGAAAAACTAGCAGCTAGCCATGTCAAAAGTGAGCGAAAGAACACCTGTACATTGGTGGCTCAGATGAAACCCAGCACTGGAAAACGTGTAAGTTCAAATATTTAGTTATCATTTTTTAAGCTCAGCACCCAGAGGCAGGTTACCCCAACATCTCCTACCTGTCCAGCCTTCGACACTGGAAGTGTATAGATGAAAGTAATAAAAGGACACCAGTATTGTCAGGCTCTTGTCTCCAGAGCTGCATGCAGTGTCTCTCAGCTGCCTCAAAATCTCCTGCCTGATATTCTCGATGTGCCAACTCAGCTAACCCTTGGAAGGAAAGCATACGTTTCGTTGGTTCTGGAGAATCATCAAAACATTTGAGGGAAGGAGGGGGGAAAACAAAAAGTTAGAAATGCAAACCAAAAAATGTAAAAGTATGGTAAATTAAACTTAAAGATGAAATGCTTGAAACTATGTAAAGCACTAGAGTGTTCTGCATTTTATTTAAAGCCCCAATATACAGAATTCATCTCTTCAAATTCACCCATTACTAAAGCTTTCTTTTCTAAACAGCAATATTTACTTCCAAATGAGATTCTTCTTTTTAATTTTGAGTTTTAAACTATAAATCATAGGTACAGTCACTAAACTAAGTTACCACACAATTTAAACATGAAATCTGCAAAAGTTACAAAGATTTGTCAGAATAACCTAGTGCTAACAATACTTCATCCTATACATTTCACGTTGGGTTTCTAAAGGCTGTGGTATTCTAACACCTTCTCAGTGCAAGTGACTCCAAGCGTCTCCAGAACTATACTTATGTTAGTGCATTTTACATCTTTAATTTTTTTTTTAGGAGCAACAATAAAAACAAGACCAAGGAAAACAACTGAAGTCAAGAGTGCTGCTTCCACTTTTTAAAGCAGCTGATAAACAAGACCAGTATTTGTCAAGGGCTAAAGCATTTAATAGCTTCACCAAACATTTTAAACAAAGACCCGAATGTTCCTCTCTACTGGCAAGGACTCACAAGGAGACCAAATTAGCTAAATCCCACCCACGCTGCCTTAGCATTTACATTTTCCGCTGGGTTTCTAGCTCTCACGGAAGGATTAAGACATTGAAAACAACCCTGTACATATCTAGGCAACCTACCATTGCAATAGTTTAAAAACGCTACAATATAAAACACTGGGTACAATAAAACATAATAAATCACAAAAAAAAATTACTTTCGTTCTGTGGGACTTAGTTAGATACATAATGAAAAGCTGAAGCCCAGGTACACGCCTAAGGCTCAGCTGTAAACATTTCTCTCATCAGTGATACAGTAGGAATTCAACCATAACACGCTCTAGAGGGTTAGAATGGAAAACCACAGACCTACGTAATTTTACCAAGGTCGTGGGGACAATCTCAAATTTAAGAGCTCCCTCATATCAGAGCTGATGAATGCTCTAGATGCTCTAGAAAGAAATTTTCTGACAGAATGCACAGCTGACCACAGAAACAAAGACCGGGAAGATTTGTGTCCAAATCTGAGGTCGGACCTTTAAGATAAACTAGAAAATTACATTTTAGACCAGAACGCAGCACTTTCTAGCTCCTAAATTTAGCGCATTACTTGTCGGCACTTTTCCAAGTCGCTTATCTGCTCTTTTAACACTGGAAATGGCCATTTCCTCAAAGTTAACAGTCAGAAAAGGGCAAGCGCTTACAAAAATCTAACACGGAATCTTTAATCTTTGAGAATCACTGTGGGAAAACGGGATGCGGGGGTCGAACTAATTATTAATCCCACTCCCGTCAATTACGGATGAGACACTATTGAAGATTCGTCCATTTATCGCACAATGTCGCACAACTAAAACCTTGACACCGCGACTGCAAAACAACAAAAAATATCCTCTCCGAAACCTTAGAACCGCAGCCCGGTTCTTCACTCCCTCCCTCCCTCCCCAAATAGCCTCAATCTGGAAAGGCAGTTGAAGGACGCTCCTACAATTTGGTAGTGTTCTTATTTTCAGTAACGAAGGCTCGGGAATGAATTGTCGAAAAGAGGCAACCACTTTGCACTTGTGCAGCTACACTCCAGGTGCTTTACAAACTCTTCAAGCAAGGATGGAAACTTAAAAAAAAATACACACCCTATGAATAAAGAAATAACTGGGCTAAAGAATGGGGATGAAAACCCAGATGCGGCGGCGGAGGAATACATTGAAAAAAGTAACAAAGAGAGAATTGGGCGGGCAGGATGGTCAACGCCAAGCAAGGCACCGAGGTGGTTTCTTCCCCAAGGATAGGAAACGACCGTCGGGTTGGCACACTTGCAGAGGAAGGGTGTGGTTGCCACGAGCTGGGAGGGCGGACGGGGTGGGAAACTCAGGACAGGGCAGCGGGTGCAATTGGGCAATGGCTAAGAGAACCCCTGGAAATTTCCAACCTAAACCGGGGTCACTCAACCCAAGAACACTAAAAGGTGCCGGCCGGCGTGCGGGCTCAAGGTTCCCTCTTCTTGAGGTTACTTGGAAGCACATCGAAGAGCTTTTGCTAGCCTTTGCCGGTTGCAAAATAGCATCCCGACCCCAGACTTCGAGAAGGGTACTAAATGTGGCCAAGGGAAAAAGGCTTGGGTGAGGGGAGGTGGAAATGCACTGGGGGTAGCGACGAACTGGAATTGAGGGAGAAAGCAGTTGCGATGGAGACAGAAAGAGCATGGATTCCAATGCAGCCCATTCCAAGACATTCTAAGCGCGCACGTGTGCTAGAAGCGTCCCAAGAGAGGCTAGAATACTGATGGGATAAAATAACAACGGAAAAGCTCAAAAGCAAGCAAAATGCAAGCAAGCAAAATGCAAGCAAGCAACGAGGCAATGTTTACAGAACGGACGACAGCATCAAACCCGATCAGATGGCAGTAGAACCCAACAGAGTTCAGCAATGCCACTGATGTAATGGGGATGATTAGAGGGAAGGGAATGATGAGAAATACAAGACGGCGCCAGACCCCAAAAGGACGTCTGCCAAAGTAGAATGGGACACTGGTACCTGTGCTGTCGGCCACGTTGCCCACGGAAGACGCCATCTGGAGCTTCTTGAGATAGAGCAAGAAGGGGGTAATTGACTTCTACTGCCGCCACTACTGGCAAAAATGTTTCTAGAGGTAGCAGAAAAAGGGCAGCAGCTGTATCAGTGTTTTGGAAGGCTTAATGGGCGGCAGCAGACACTGGACTCGAATCTTGGGAACTCTTGTTAGACATCTACCTCTCACTGTCTTGAAATGGCGGCGACGGCTCCTCGACCGAAACAACACAGGCCGGAACTACTTTCTGTTACAATCAAGTGCCCCGCGGAAGTATCGCGTAACTAGACTACTGAAAAAAAAAATGACTGTAATCAAATCACTTGCTCTTACGTAACCTTCCGCCCAAGGTCCATTGCGACAAACACGACTATAGAAAGCGCATGCGACAACCCTGTCAAGGCAACTCCGGGTTAAGGGCACCCTGTGGGGCAAGAGCCTGCAAGTTTTTAAGAGCTGGCGGAAGGGCAAAAAAATGCACGTCGATTACATTTTTTTGGCAAGTGCTAAAATCTACTACCTGGTCATTGATGTAGATGTTAGCAGGAATGTCAAAGACGTCTAGAAAAGTTTCGTAAGAAAATGGGTAGTTTACATGGCCAGTGTGTCCCTTCTAAGCAAGTAAATGCGACGAATTATATTTCAAGAGACGAAAGTGTTCAAAACGATGGAGGACCCGGTTCCGATTTGAATGCTTCTTGATTCGGACTCCACCCATGAATTTAAGTATTTTGATGTGGAGAATGATATTTTCCCTGGGCTGCGGGAACCCAAACGTGTCCGATTTGAATCGTATAGCCTGAAAATTCAAAATCGTTCTGGTATCTGGAGAATAACAGGGTAAATATTCAATTACTCGGGGACCTGCTGCGATTTTGCATGCCAAAATCAACCATAGCAATGTTAAAGAGTATTCGTTTTCGTGAAAATTCCTGATTCTGAGTTTTGCCAAACAACTCTGCGAATCGTTAAGGTCCGCGAATGCCACTGACCTTAAGCAATTGAACAATGCTAAAATGCGCTACACATCTACGTTGAGTCCCGTATTGCCTTCCGTTTACAAAACAGCTCTTAGGATCCTCCTGCGGTTTCAAATGCAGGGTTCAGACATTTTGTCATATTGTTATTAATTTATATCCCCTGCCTTGTTCCTAGAAAATTTTAACATAACTTGTCACATCAGCAAGCAATTATTTCAAGCCACTTGGGCTATAGTTAGAGCTCTTGGAGCCTTCCTTCCTTCCTTTCTTTTTTTAATTCTTTGATGTTAGAATAATCAGTGAGCTTGTGTAAGAACGTTTGCTGTCTAGCCCCTTGGCGACATAAGAAATAAATAAATCCACAAATGCTGCTTCAGTTTCTTGGAATCACTGACCAAAGTGTGAACTCTGGATATGAGTGCAAAGACAGTTGATAAAATTATTCATTTCTTTCGCCTCATAGAAACAACAGCATGTAGTGACAAAGAAAGTTCCACTACACAAACTCTCCTGGACACCGGCTTTATCTTTTCATTTGGGATACCTGGCAAGCCCCTCCCCCACCAAGTGCGCCACCTTTGGTGAATGTGCTCAGCTTTTCTCCTTTAAGAACAGGCGGTTCAGATTCTACCAGCAGATGTTTAGGCCTTCCTGATTAGTGGAAGATAGTTAATTAAGTAAATTGGTAAATGTCAGGTTATGCTCCCAGTCGGACAGCTACTTGACTTATAGAAAACTGGTCTGGATTTCCCTCAGAGAAAATTCTCAGGCTAATAGACATTTTACTGCTAGGAAAAATAGTGTTTTGTGAGGCTCATGTAGCTTAAAAAGGGAAACCCCTTCAAAGAATCGCCCAAGAGCCGAACTAGAGTAGCACCTGGGAGGTTTGGTTCCAGGAACTTGCCAGTCAATCATACCTTCTTCAGGCAATAAAGTAACATTTACTAAAATCTGTATATTCAAGGCACTGTAGAAAAAAAATGGAAAAGAAAACTCTTTGCCCTCAAGGAACTTCAGGTCTGGTTAAGTAAACCAAAAAAGTCACCGAAGAGTAATACTAGGATTGTTTTAATGAAGTACGTTGGACTCTGTCTGGAAAGGGAACCAACACGTCAGATTAGAGGGGGCCCTTCGACGAAGACTGCTGCTGGGCACTGCCTTGAAGGCAATGCTGTTTTGCTTCTTGCACTTTGTTTTCTTCCTTTTAAATGCATAAATTCTAAATCTGGAGCCATTTGTAAACATATCAACTGCTTCAATTCTAACTCCAGACACTTCCACTAACACCAATGATGGTGTAGTACTTTCCTATCTCTTACAACATGCCCAGATGTGCTTGCATTTGCAGTCACTGGAAGAGTGTTCCAAAGGTTAAATGAAGTTGAACAAAACACATTGATGAAGCACCCCAGGCTCTCCAGATGTGTGGGGATACTATTCTAGAGCTCCTTGGATTCTGTAACCAGTCACAATGAAGAAAACTGGTCTTAAAACAATCCAGAAAGAAAGAAAAAACTTCCAGAAATCTTTTCAAATATATAATTCTTGTTGCATGTATGATGTAGGTGGTATGTGTACCACAGTGTGCATACAACTGTTACAATGGTATTCAGGTGAAAGTCAAAGGAAAATTTTGTAGAGTTCTCTCCACTATTGGGGATTGAATTCAGGCCATCAATCAGGCTTGCATAGCAAGCATCTTCACCTTCCTCACTGGCTGAACAATTTCACTGGCCTCCCCCATTTTTCTTAGCCGAATAAGATTAAAGAAAAACAAACTGGTTTCATGGTAGCATAACAATCATTTGCCAGTGAATCTGGGAGATGAGAATTTTTTATATGTGGCTGCTATGAAGAAAACAGTGGCCAGCTGGAATGACAACCTTGAAAAGGGAGAAAAAGCACAGATGTAACAGTAAAAGCCTAACAGATATATTATGGAAGGCAATTATCTGCAAAACAAAAGCAGAGGCCTAGGGAAGGCGCCCTCCTGATCTCCCAGGGAAGGACTTTTCCTTAGGAGCCAATAGTCTTTAAAGAAAAAAAACAGACATGGGGCTCAAAATTCCAGTTAGTTAGGTCCACTTTTTTCTTCAATGACCGCTTGGTTTCTTGACCTAAAAATTCTAAGAAAATGCACATCAAAATGAAGGCAAAGCTGAACCCGATCTTGGTCCTTCAGGCCTGGAATATCAGCACTGGGGAGGTTGAGATGATCTTTCTGCCTCCAGGCAGAGTTACATAAATACCTTCCAGGCTGAACTATGATGTGCGATCCTTCTCAAAAAAAAAAAAAAAAAAAAAAAAAAGACAAAAATAGAGAGGCCAAAACCTTGGTTCATCCTTCAGTCTACAGTCTGAAACCATTTGTAAAGAGGGGCAAAAAGAAAAAAAAAGAAAACTAAATAAATAAATCCACTGAAGAGTCAGAATAGAGACTTGCATCTTCTCCTCTGTGCCTGTGGTACTATTTTCTGTGCTTATAGATAAGAGGCTATTGTCTGCTCAGTTCTCTTCCTCTTCTTCTCAAGTGGGAGCAAACTCTTCCCTATAGAAGAGCACCGTGGTTTATTTATCAGCACCAACAAGACTTTCATTGCAGAGCCCTGGAGTGAGTCACACGGTCCCTCTAGTTTATCCATTGCTACCTCCAAAGGAGAATAATCAAAAAAAATCCAAAGGAGCTCTGAGGGCTCTCCAGTCCAGAGTCTATGTGTCTGAAAGTATGGCTGTCATCTTCCTGTGGTTTCAGTGGAGAGTGGTCACATTGAAAAGCCTTCCAGAGGGGCTGAAAGAAACTTACAGAGAACAAGGATGGTAGTGGGGACAAATCACACTAAAAGTAAAGAGACAATAGCACAGGTGCTAGATGGTGCTTTTGTTGTTCTTTCTGGGTGGCTCTGATGACCATTATTTTTTAAGCTTGAGCTTTTGTGTCCATCGTAAGCACTTCACAGTAAAATTGAACACTCAAAGGCCAGATCTGGCTTTTATGAACAGCCAGATGTAGAAGACAATGGTTGTTCTAATTGAACATTCAACAAGGGGCTCTGGAACTAGAGCATTTTGTTATTCAAGGTCTCCTTTGTCTGAATATGCAATTCCTGTTAGATTGACCAATCCAGTATCACCATTCCTGTGCCATTTACATTACATCAGCATATCCTAATAGACTTATTTCCAAAACCGTCTAACCAGACAATGAAGAATTGCTGAGAGATGATGAAAACACTGCACTGTAGTGTGACATTCACTTTGTTGGCGCCTGTGGCACAGACCACGCCCATTGGGGGTGGAGACAGGGCAGACATTACCTAGGGTAACTAAGTCTGAGGAGAGGGCTCCGAAAGCTCTCTTGCTTGCAACATGGGGACAATAGTACATCCAGAGGCATCCTTGGGACTAGGAACCTGCTGGTGTTCATCTGTCTATGTTGTAAGTTATTTCTCCCTGAATAAACATCTATTCGGCCAATTTGTTTCTCCTGATCCTTATTAAACATCAATACTGCACTTTACACTTCTGAACAAGAAAAAGAGGTTGAAGCACACTTAACAAACTTTCAGTGCTATAAAAATCTTTTGCTAACTGGGCGGTGGTGGCACACAATTTTGATCCCAGCACAGGAGGCAGAAGCAGGTGGGTCTCTGTGAGTTCAAGGCCAGGCTGCTCTACAGAGCAAGTTCTAGGACAACCCCGGCCTTTATACAGAGAAACCCTGTCATTAAAAAAAAAATATTTTGCTGCTATAACTATTTCAATTATATACAAAAAAATTTAATCAACTTCTTGAGGGACACAAGTGTTAATAGGTTGCCTTGACATTGTGTTGGTTTTGTTTTTGTTTTTTTAGACAAGTTCTCTCCGTGTGTAACAGTCCTGGCTGGCCTGGAACTCAGAGAGATCCACCTGCCTCTGCCCCCCCCCCCAGGATTAAAGCCACCACAGCACAGCTGTTTTGTGTATTTTCAAAAGTAGCTTTTACATTTTCAAATTTTGCCAATATGATAAGACAGATCTGTGATTCCAGTATTAAAGAACAAAGAGGCAGGAAGTTAACTGCAAATTCAAGGCCAGCCTGGGATACAGGGCAAGTAAGACACTGTCTAAAAAAAAAAAAATCTTAAATTTAAGTGTTGCCTTTTCTGCTGTTAAAATGAAATAAATGATCCCAACAGAAAAACAACAGAGACTAACATCCAAGAAACTTTGGGTAGATGGCCACTCATTCTACAGGCAAAGACAGAGA